GCGCCCGCTGCGATGCCCAGATAATTGTTTATATTTTTAGTAGAGACAGGGTTTCGCCCATGTTGCCCAGACTGGTCTTGAACTCCTGACCTCAGGTGATCCACCCACATTGGCCTCCCAAAGTGCTGGGATTGCAGGTGTGAATGCTAAGATAATCTGAATATATCGTGGACTTTCGTTAATAATACTGTATTAGTTGGCCTCCCAAAGTGCTGGGATCACAGGTGTGAACCACCCACCACACCTGGTCTGCCCATATTCTTTATAGCTGACTTTTCAGTAGCAAAAGGGTGACTCTGGTGTCAAATATAGAGAAGACAAGCAAGAAAATTAGGTGGTCTGTGACTTTAAGCTTTCAAAATTTTCATATAACCTTAATAGATATTTTGATGTGGTTTTGCGTTTACCTTTGAACTTTTTTTTTTGAGACGGAGTTTCGCTCTTGTTACCCAGGCTGGAGTGCAATGGCGCAATCTCGGCTCACCGCAACTTCCGCCTCCTGGGTTCAGGCAATTCTCCTGCCTCAGCCTCCGGAGTAGCTGGGATTACGGGCACGCGCCACCACGCCCAGCTAATTTTTTGTATTTTTAGTAGAGACGGGGTTTCACCATGTTGACCAGGATGGTCTCGATCTCTTGACCTCATGATCCACCCGCCTCGACCTCCCAAAGTGCTGGGATTACAGGCTTGAGCCACCGTGCCCAGCCTACCTTTGAACTTTTAAAATGAAAACTAAATGTATGTTTGAGTCAACGCCATTTAAAATAAATTTCTGGGCCGCCCATTTAAAATAAATTTCTGGGCCGCCCATTTAAAATAAATTTCTGGGCCGGGCATGATGGCTCACGCCTGTAATCCCAGCTTTGGGAGGCCAAGGCAGGCAAATTGCTTGAGGCCAGGAGTTCGAGACTAGCCTGTCCAACATGGCAAAACCCCATTTCTGCTTAAAAAAAAAAAAAAAAAAAATTAGCAAAGCTTGGTGGTGCATGCCTGTAATACTACTTTCTTGGGAGGCTGAGGCACAAGAATTGCTTGAACCCAGCAAGCAGAAGTTGCAGTGAGTTGAGATCGTGCCATTGTACTCTAGCCTGGGCGATACAGGAAGACTGTCTCAAAAAAATAAAAAATAAACAAAATAAATTCCTGATTAAATATTTTAAATTTTATTTTGAGGCCGGGCGTGGTGGCTCATGCCTGTAATCCCAGCACTTTGGGAGGCTGAGGTGGGTGGATCACTTGAGGTCAGGAGTTCAAAACCAGCCTGTCGAACATGGCAAAACCCCATCTCTACTAAAGATAAAAAGTTAGCTGGGCATGGTGGTGCATGCCTGTAATCCCAGCTACTTGGGAGGCTGAGGCAGGAGAGTTGCTTGAACCTGGGTAGTGAGCCAATATCGTGCCACTGCACTCCAGCCTGGGCAACAAGAACAAAACTCCATCTAAAAAAAAAAAATGTTTATTTTGAAATGCAGTAAGTATGAAATTCAAAAGGAAAAAAATGAAAAAAGTATAGTTAAAAATAGTGTCCTCACCTCTTACCTCTTGACACCCATTTCTCTCTAAGAGTTAACTTCTTTTTTTTTTTTTTTTGCCAATCAGTTTGAGCTTTATGAGGTTGCTCAGGTTAGCCTTGAACTGATGACCTCGCCTTCGCGAGCGCCATGACCTCTGGCAGGAGCCACTTTGGACCCTGCTAAGAGTTAACTTCTATAAGCTTGTATCTAATGTATTCTAGAGCTGTTCTGTGCATGTTTTTTAGTTTATTTTTATTTAATTAAAAAAATTAACATGCAGTAGTGACTTACTTTGGTACGCATTTCTATGAACTTATTTTTTCGGTATAAATTTTTTTTTAATTTTACTTTAAGTTCCAGGATACATGTGCAGAACGTGCAGGTTTGTTACATAGGTATACGTGTGCCATGGTGGTTTGCTGCACCTATCAACCCATTATTTAGGTTTTTTTTTTTGTTTTTTTGTTTTGAGACAGAGTTTCGCTCTTGTCACCCAGGCTGGAGTGCAATGGTGCCATCTCGGCTCACCGCAACCTCCGCCTCCTGGGTTCAGGCAATTCTCCTGCCTCAGCCTCCTGAGTAGCTGGGATTACAGGCGCGCACCACCATGCCCAGCTAATTTTTTTGTATTTTAGTAGAGACGGGGTTTCACCATGTTGACCAGGATAGTCTCGATCTCTTGACCTCGTGATCCACCCACCTCAGCCTCCCAAAGTGCTGGGATTACAGGCTTGAGCCACCGCACCCAGCCTCATTATCTAGGTTTTAAGCCCTGCGTGCATTAGATATTTGTCCCAGTGCTCTCCTTCCCCTTGCCTCCGACCCCTGACAGGCCCCTGTATGTAATGTTCCCCTCCCTGTATCCATGTGTTCTTATTGTTTAACTCCAACTTATAAGAACATGCAGTTATTTTATTTATTTATTTATTTATTTTTGAGACAGTGTTACTCTGTCGCCCAGGCTGGAGTGTAGTGGTGACACCTTGGCTCAGTGCAACCTCTGCCTCATAGGTTCAAGTGATTCTCCTGTCTCAGCCTCCCGAGTACCTGGGTTCTCAGACATGTACTATCATACCTGGCTGATTTTTGTATTTTTCTGTAGAGATAGGGTTTCTTGATGTTGGCCACTTAGCTCAAACTGATGTCAAGTGATCTGCCCGCCTTGGCCTCCCAAAGTGCTGGGATTACAGGCATGAGCCACCATGCCTGGCCTAGTTCTATGAATTTTAACACATGTATAGATTCTTATAACTGCCACCACAGTCTGCCTACAGAACAGGATTTGAATTTAAATGTTCAAAAAATACATTTTTTAGAGGGGAGATAGAGAAATATTTTAGCCTTTTTCAAAAATTAAAGCACACTTAAGATACAGTGAAAGTCACCCATTTACATGTACAGTTTATCAGCACCATACGGGTGAAAGGAAAAGTACAATTTGAGTATTGACAAAATTCATCATAGTGTAGCCAGCACCACAACCAGTGTATGGCTTCTGACAATCATTGATCTTTTCCTTTTCTTCAGTTTTGCTTTTTCCAGAATATCCTATATATGGAAGGCTTTTGAGTATGGCTTCTTTTCACTTGGCATAATGAATTTGAGATTCATCTCCATTATTACTTATATGAATAATTTGTTTCTTTTTAGAGCTGAGTCATATCTCATTGTATAGAGTGGTACCATAGTTTTCGAAGGTCATTTCCCAGTTGACAGACATTTGGATATTTTCTAGTGTACAAATAAAGTTGTTATAAACATTCACAGACAGGTGTTTTTATGAATGTGAGTTTTCTTTTCATTAGGTTAAATGCCTACGGACAGTATTGCTGGGTTATGTAGAAAGTGCATGTTTTAACTTTTTTTTTTTCTTTTTTTGGCTCCTGATTAAAACAACTGAAAGTGTACACTTAACTTTATAGGAAATTTCCAGATTGTTTCCCGAAGTTGACTGTACTATTTTATGTTCCCACCAGCAATGTATGAAAGTTGTTCATCTGAAATTTTATCAGAGGAGGGTTCACACCTGTAAACCCAGCACTTTGGGAGGATAAGGTGGGCAGATCATTTGAGCCCAGGAGTTCAAGACCAGCCTGGGCAACATGGCAAAACCCCATGTCTACGAAAAATACAAAAATTAGCTTGGTGTGGTGGTGTGCACCTCTAGTCCCAGCTACTCGGGCGCCTGAGGTGGGTGGATTGCTTAAGCCCAGGACTGTTGAGCCTGGAGTGAGCTGTGATGGTGTCTGTCATAGCACTTCAGCCTGGGCAACTGAGGGAGACCGTGTCTCCAAACTAACAAGTAAAAAAGAAATAAGTGGTATTAGCTTTTTTTTTTTTTTAAGTGAGACAAAGTCTCAGTCTGTTGCCCAGGCTAGAGTGCAGTGGCGTAATCTCAGCTCACTGCAACATCTGCTGCCCAGGTTCAAATGAGTCTCCTGTCTTGGCCTCCCAGGTAGCTGGGATTACAGGTGCCTGCCATCACACCTGGCTAACTTTTGTACTTTTTAGTAAACATGGGGTTTCACTGAGTTGGCCAGGCTGGTCTTGAACTTCTGACATCATGATCCACCCACCTCAGCTTCCCAAAGTGCTAGAATTACCAGGCATGAGCCACCATGCTGGGCCGAATTTTTCTTTTTTAAATACCATTTTAATAGGCATGTCGTGGTAATTCCTTTTGGTTCTGGTTTGTATTTCCTTAATGGTTAAATGATCTTGATTGTATTTTCATGTGCTTGCTTGCCACCTGTATATCATTGAGGAAATGTCTGTTTAAATATTATGCCCACTTTAAAAATTGAGGTTTTTTTCCCCCCCTTTTGAAAATTCTGTGTATTTTCTGGATACAGTTTTTAATCAGGTATGGATTTGTTTAGTATTCATTGGCTTCTAATTTTTTTTTTAAAAAGGAATATGATTTGTAAATATTTTCTCCCAGTCCAGCTTATCAATTTTTTATTCTGTATTTGATTGTGCTTTTGGGTTGTCTCTAAGAAAATATTTGTCTAGCCTGTGGCCACAAAGATTTTCTCCTGCATTTTTTTTTCTAGAATATATCATTTTCAGTGTTACATTTAGGTCTGCAGTGCATTTTGAGTTAATTGGATTGAGGCTCTTTTTTTGTTTTGCATATGGACACCTTGTTCTAGTACCATTTATTGAAAACACTGATTTCTCTGTTGAATTGTCTATATTATTAATCCTGATTTGTATTGCATCTGACAGATCCAGAATGATTTGAAAAGTTAATTAGCTTACTGTATTTAAAAATCTGTTAAGTGTCTTATTTGGAACCTGGCATTTGCTGACAGCAGTTTTTTATCTACAGAAGGATTTTCCAAAATAACTTTAAGCCTAAGATTAAAAGAAGATTTTGCTAATGATTCATTATCTGTTTGGAAAAACTTGCGTGATTTTTTATGCATCAAATATGAGCCGAAATGGTTTTTCCTAGAAGGTACCCATTTTATTTTTTGTAGAATTACTTGGTAGTTCTCTAATAATCTGTGTTTGGGCTTTATATCATCTTTGATAGTGATACATTTTGGGGCAATTCTCTTTTTGTTTAAAACTATCATATAGTTGTCCTAAGTTGAGTACTTCTAGGCCAGGCTTGATGGCTTATGCCTGTAATCCTAGAACTTTGAGAGGCAGAAGCAGGGGGATCACTTGAACCCAGGAGTTTGAGACCACCTAAATCAGAATCAAAAACATAGCCAGCCGGTGTGGTGCATGCCTGTTGTCCTAGCTACTTAGGAGGCTGAGGTGGGAGGATTGCTCGAGCCCAGGAGTTCAAGGTTACAGTAAGCTATGGTGGCTCCAGTGCACTCCAGCCTGTGTGACAGAGAAAGACTCTCTCTAAACAAACTGACTAAAAGTTTAATTACTTTAAAAAAAGGGGCCGGGCGCGGTGGCTCACGCCTGTAATCCCAGCACTTTGGGAGGCCAAGGCAGGCGGATGGCAAGGTCAAGAGATCGAGACCATCCTGGTCAACATGGTGAAACCCCATCTCTACTAAAAATACAAAAATTAGCTGGGAACGGTGGCGCGTGCCTGTAATCCCAGCTACTCAGGAGGCTGAGGCAGGAGAATTGCTTGAACTCAGAAGGCGGAGGTTGCGGTGAGCCGAGATCACGCCATTGCACTCCAGCCTGGGTAACAAGAGTGAAACTCCGTCTCAAAAAAAAAAAGGTGGTACACAATTATTGTTCTTAGGGTGAGGGTTTTCTTATTTTTATTTTTTTGGTTGGAGGAACTCTTGTTTGTTAGCCAACCATGATTGCAGTGGCTCAGTCAACTCGCTGCAGTTTTAAAACCCTGGGCTGAAGTGATCCTCCTGCTTCAGCCTCCCAAGTAGCTAGGACTGTAGGACTAGGATGACAGGCACACGCCACGATGCCCGTCTAATTTTTTTTGTTTTAGGGACAAGGTCTCGCTATACTGCCCAGGCTGATGTCCAACTTCCTGGCCTCCAACAGTGCTCCTACTTCGGCCTCCAACAGTGCTCCTACTTCAGCCTCCCAAAGTGCTGGCATTACAGGCATGAGCCACTGTGCCTGGTTTATTTTTTATCTTTCACTGTAGAGTGAAAGAATTGCTATTTGGCTGTACATTGGTGTTCTGTAATATGATGAGGTGTGAGTTTATCTCAGTATTTGGATATTTATTATTTATTAATTTAGAAGCACTTTGCAATTAACACCTTTAAAGTAACTTAAAATTTTAAGTGTTACAGTAGAAATTAAAATGCCAAGAAGCAGATGTTTTGGAGGTTAATTGAAGACAGACTTTCAGGCTGGGCCTCATGACTCACGCCTATAATCCCAGCACTTTGTGAGGCCGAGGCAGATGGATCAGTTGAGGTCAGGAGCTCAAGACCAGCCTGTCCAACATGGTGAGACCTCGTCTCTACTAAAAATATAAAAATTAGATGGGTGTGGTGGGGTATGCTTGTAATCCCAGCTATTCAGGAGGCTGAGGCAGGAGAATCCCTTGAATCCGGGAGGCAGAGTCTGCTGTGAGCTGGTAGCGTGCCACTGCGCTCTAGAGTGGGCGACAGACCAAGACTCCATCTCAATAAGACATAACAAGAATAAAATAGACTTTCAGGAGTAATAGCTGCTTTTAAATTTTTTACTTTAAAGGTGTTAATTGCAAAGTACTTCTAAATTAATAAATAATAAATATCCAAATACTGAGATAAACTCACACCTCATCATATTACAGAACACCAATGTACAGCCAAATAGCAATTCTTTCACTCTACAGTGAAAGATAAAAAAATAAACCAGGCGGGAGTCGCGGACGGTCTGCTGAACCCGTTAGTGCGCCCGGCCGAGACACGCCGCCGCCATGTCTCGCTACCTGCGTCCCCCAAACACGTCTCTGTTCGTCAGGAACGTGGCCGACGACACCAGGTCTGAAGATTTACGGCGTGAATTTGGTCGTTATGGTCCTATAGTTGATGTGTATGTTCCACTTGATTTCTACACTCGCCGTCCAAGAGGATTTGCTTATGTTCAATTTGAGGATGTTCGTGATGCTGAAGATGCTTTACATAATTTGGACAGAAAGTGGATTTGTGGACGGCAGATTGAAATACAGTTTGCCCAGGGGGATCGGAAGACACCAAATCAGATGAAAGACAAGGAAGGGAGGAATGTGTACAGTTCTTCACGCTATGATGATTATGACAGATACAGACGTTCAAGAAGCCGAAGTTAGGAAAGAAGGAGATCAAGAAGTCGGTCTTTTGATTACAACTATAGAAGATTGTATAGTCCTAGAAGCAGTAGACCGACTGGAAGACCACGGCGTAGCAGAAGCCATTCGGACAATGATAGATTCAAACACCGAAATCGATCTTTTTCAAGATCTAAATCCAATTCAAGATCACGGTCCAAGTCCCAGCCCAAGAAAGAAATGAAGGCTAAATCACGTTCTAGGTCTGCATCTCACACCAAAACTAGAGGCACCTCTAAAACAGATTCCAAAACACATTATAAGTCTGGCTCGAGATATGAAAAGGAATCAAGGAAAAAAGAACCACCTAGATCCAAATCTCAGTCAAGATCACAGTCTAGGTCTAGGTCAAAATCTAGATCAAGGTCTTGGACTAGTCCTAAGTCCAGTGGCCACTGATAGTATAAACCATGGTCATTTTTAGGCATGTATCATTTACTCATAGTTTGGTTTACTTAAATTATCAGGAATACAATGTTGCAATGATGCTTAAAAAACCCTTGTTAGTTTTCCCTGTACCAGGCAATGGTTATAATTAAAATGATATGCTGTTGAGAAGCCAAAAAATAAATAAATAAATAAATAAACCAGGCACAGTGGCTCATGCCTGTAATGCCAGCACTTTGGGAGGCTGAAGTAGGAGCACTGTTGGAGGCCAGGAAGTTGGACATCAGCCTGGGCAGTATAGCGAGACCTTGTCCCTAAAACAAAAAAAATTAGACGGGCATTGTGGCATGTGCCTGTCATCCTAGTCCTACAGTCCTAGCTACTTGGGAGGCTGAAGCAGGAGGATCACTTCAGCCCAGGGTTTTAAAACTGCAGCGAGTTGACTGAGCCACTGCAATCATGGTTGGCTAACAAACAAGAGTTCCTCCAACCAAAAAAATAAAAATAAGAAAACCCTCACCCTAAGAACAATAATTGTGTACTACCTTTTTTTTTTTTTTGAGACGGAGTTTCGCTCTTGTTACCCAGGCTGGAGTGCAATGGCGTGATCTCGGCTCACCGCAACCTCCGCCTTCTGAGTTCAAGCAATTCTCCTGCCTCAGCGTCCCGAGTAGCTGGGATTACAGGCGCGCACCACCATGCCCAGCTAATTATTGTATTTTTTAGTAGAGACGGGGTTTCACCTTGTTGACCAGGATGGTCTCGATCTCTTGACCTCGTGATCCATCCGCCTTGGCCTCCCAAAGTGCTGGGATTATAAGCGTGAGCCACTGTGCCCGGCCTAAATTTTTAAAATCATTTGTTGGTCACTGCCTTTTTTCATTTCTGAAATGACTACTCTTAAGTGCCTTTTTTTGTTGTCTTTGGAAAATGTACTCTTGTCTCTTGCTATTCCATTTTTCTCCTTTATTTGCCCTTTCTTTATTTGGATAGACTTTGCCAATCAATTTTATTTTTATTATTTTTATTTTGGTAAAATACATGTAACATAAAGTTGATCACTTTAACTATTTTAAAGTATATGGTTCAAGCCACGTGTAGTGGTGTGGCGCCTGTAGTTCCAGCTGGTCAAGAGGCTGATGCTGCGCTCCTTGAGCCCAGGACTTTGAAGGCAGCCTGGGCAACATAGCGAGGCCCCCTTCTCTTAATAAAAGTATACAGTTCAGTGGCATTAAGTACATTAACAATATTATATGACCATCACCACCGCAATCTTGTTCTAGAACTTGTTCATTACTGCCACACCATTAAAAGTATACAGTTCAGTGGCATTAAGTACATTAACAATATTATATGACCATCACCACCGCAATCTTGTTCTAGAACTTGTTCATTACTGCCACACCATTTTAGCACCTAATCGATCCCTAGTGTTTGGCTGCCATATTAAGTATTAGGTTTGTAAGAGATAAACAAGACTCAGTTATTGTCCTCAAAGACTCACAGTCTAGTGAGAGAAACCTAGTATTTATGATACAATGTGGCAAATTACATGTTAGAGCTCCCCATCATTTAATTTTATTTATTTAATTAGAATTTTAATTTTATCTTGAAAAAGCAGAGTAACTTTTTGTTAGGTTAACATTGAAGTTGTCATATTCCACACACTGAATTCATTTAGGCTAGACCAGAGTCTTTAGTCTTTTGATTTAGGTCATTGTGGATTTAGGTCATTAGGACTCACAAGTCCTCATGCCCTATACTTTATGACAAGAAGGGAACCAGAAAGTTGATATTTTGATTTAAAACCAAATTATGAGCTATTCCTTCATAATGAAGCAGGGAGATCTGTGAAAACTATGATTGGAGGGAACTTCTTAGTTGTCTGCAACTATCATTTGTTGAAACTGTTTTTACTTATTTTAGTTGTGGTGACACCTTGCTTGATTATGATCAAATACAACATTGTACAGGCATGTTTATTTCTCTTGGCCGATCATCTTGAGGAATAGTTGCTTTGGAAACTGTCAAGAGCTTATTTTTAATTTCTTGAAAAGCTGGGAGGTACCAATTGATATAAAGTTTAATGTCAGCAGTTTTAGTTTAAAATAATGTTACCAGATTGAGCAGTATTTTTCAAAATACTATGACTTATTTACTTCATTATTAAAGACTCAATGTAATATTGCTTATAAAAGTAAAACAGGCTGGGCGTAGTGGCTCACACCTGTGATCCCAGCACTTCGGGAGGCCAAGGCGGGTGGATTGCCTGAGCTCAGGAGTTTGAGACTACCCTGGGCAATGTGACGAAACGCCATCTCTACTAAAATATAAAAAATTAGCTGGGACTGGTGGATGCTTGTAGTCCCAGCTACTTGGGAGGCTGAGGCACAACAATCACTTGAGCCCTGGAGGCAGAGGTTGTGGTTAGCCAAGATCGTGCCACTGCACTCCAGCTTGGGCTACAGAGTAAGACTCCGTCTCGGGGAAAAAAAAAAAAAAAAAAGGCAAACAGCATGGTTCTTTGTTTATAAGATTGTGTAGTCTTCCTAGTGTAGTCAGGCCAAAAGAGTTGGTGTCCCAAACGGTTAATAGTGTTTTAGTTTACAATTTCAACACTTGTTAGGAGAATAAAAGTTCATATTACTAGGCCTAGATTCCTAATAAGCTGTATTTTGTTGTGTTTCAAATAGGGTCTCATTCTGTCACCAGGCTTGGAGTGCAGAGGCTTGATCACGGCTCACTGCAGCCTCAGCCTCCTGGGCTTAAGTGATCCTCCCATCTCAGCCTCCTGAGTAGCTGGGTCTACAGGCTCAACCACAATGTGTGGCTAATTAAAAAAAAATTTTTTTGTAGAAACAGGGTCTCACTGTATTCCCCATGCTGGTCTTGAACTCTTGTGCTCAAGTGATCTTTCTACCTTAGGCTCCCGGAGTGCTGGGATTACAGGCGTGAGCCACTGTGCCCAGTCCTAATACATTTTTATAATTTTTTTTCTTTTTTGGGGGTAGGGGACCAAGTCTCACTCTGTCACCCAGGCTAGAGTGCAGTGGCCCGATTTCAGCTCGCTGTAACCTCAGTCTCCCGGGTTCAAGTGATTCTCCTGACTCAGTCTCCTGAGTAGGTGGGATTACAGGCGCGTGACACCACGCCTGGCTAATTTTTATATTTTTAGTAGAAGCAGGGTTTCACCATGTTGGTTGGGCTTGTCTCGAACCTCTGATCTCGTGATTTGCCTGCCTTGGCCTCCCAGAGTGGTGGGATTACAGGTGTGAGCCACCTTGCCCGACTGTGTGGTGTGGTTTTGATTGCCTACTGAAAAAGAATTATTACAGTGTCCTTTTAGGTAAAAATAATAATAACAGTAATAAAGAAAAGTTTAACATAACCCTGAGTTTGGTTAGGCTGTTAATAAATTTGACTTACTGTTTTTGAAAAATAACTGTAATCATCTTTTTTCAGGGTAATCACTTTGATCAGTATGAGGAAGGACACTTGGAAATTGAACAAACGTCACTTGACAAGCCTATAGAATCGGTAAGATAATCAGTGCTTAATTTCAGGTCTTAGCCAGTTAGTTAGGTAGCATTCGTGTGATACTTGATGTGAATGAAGTTAAACTTATTAATAACCAGTAGTACAGTTTAGAGTTGTTTTCTTGCATGCCAAATAGAGTTTGAGATATAATCTGATATTTAATACGTTGGGAAATCAGTCCAAAAAAATCTAGAAACACATTAGAATTTTGATGAAAAAATATCTTTTTGGCTCTTATTGATACATGTTGAAGGTAGCAAGTTAAAAAATTAGCTGGGCACAGTGGCGCATGCCTGTAATCCCAGCTACTCAGGAGGCTGAGGCAGGAGAATTGCCTGAACCCAGGAGTCGAAGGTTGCGGTGAGCCGAGATCTAGCCATTGCACTTCAGCCTGGGTAACAAGAGCGAAACTCCGTCTCAAAAAAAAAGAAGAACAGTAAACATTGCAATGTCCAAATCTTCGTTAGTCTTCCACTTTATTGCTTAGATGCTTCTTTGGTGTTGGTAAGTTCGTGGCCTGCTTTTTCCTTTATTTCTGAATCGTCATTAATTCTTTAGGTCACCCTGCCGATGGTGAAGGTGTCTGGGGAGCCTGGTGTTACTCAGCACTGCTCTGCTTGGTGGCTGGAGCAGGGTTCTTAGTTGGTGCCTCACCCGCCTTGGCCTCTTTGCCATCTTGTGAAGGAGCTTTAGTAGGACGTGGGCAACGCCAGTAATTGTAGGGACGCCGGTATTTACAACGAACAGACGGCTGGTTTGGAACACTGAAGGCTTGCTGATTCTCTTTATCTTCAGCCTCTCCAACTGCTGGGGCAGGTCATGGGCGAGGAGGTCCCCTGCTACTACCTTGGGCGGTAAGTTGGATTTCGATGAACCGGTCCCTTAAGTTGTGCTTCCTCTGGGATGCCATCCTTCATCTCTCCAATCTCACTGTTTGGAAAACTCTGCCCCTACCTTGAAAGCTCTCTTTCCCTCCCCCCACAAAGAGGCTCCCTTATCTCTTACTCTACATACCGCCCTAGCCTTCCCGCCGCCACAGCCACCTCCCGCCCGGCTTCTGCCTCATCAGCACTCCCCAGCTTCCCGCCGCCCGGCTTCTGCCTCATCAGCACTCTGCAGCTTCCCGCCGCCCAGCTTCTGCCTCATCAGCTCTCCCCGGCTTCCCGCCCAGCGGTTCAAACTGACCAAACGTTGCCCACCACCTCGGCTCTCTCAGCTCCCCACTCCCTCAGCCCTTCAGCCCCCTATAAAAGAACCCTGCACCTCTGAGCGGCGCGGCCATTTTCCTCTCCTTCCCGGCTGGTCCGCCTCTCAATAAAGCCTGAACTTAAGGATTTTCTTCTAACTTGCGGTCCGGTTTTTTCTGAATGAGCTTAGTCCTCCCGCAGAAGGTAGGTCGGACACTCACCAGCCTGTATTCTGTTGGGATGGGGTCAGACCCGTGAGCAACGGTCAAAGGTCTGTCCCACGTGGTAAGGCGGGAACCACCGCTGCCGGTACTGAGGGCGATACTGGGGGCGGTGCAGCTGATTCTGGGCCCACGAGAACTGCCTGTCAGTGGCAGGGAGGGGGAGTCAGATCTTTCACTGCCGCTGCTCCCTTCCTCCTCCCCAGTGTAATTTTGGGGAGGGCCACAGCGCCTTCCGTAGTTGGCACGTCTGTAACAGTGCCGAACAGCAGCGTAAGGACTCCCTTCCACTGGCCCTCCATCTGGGCCAGTCACACTGGCTGCTTCTGCACCCTTCTCTCCTTCAGCCACATCAAACTCTACAGTTTCTCCATCTCCTACACTGCGCAGATATTTCCGTGGGTTATTTTTCTTGATGGCAGTCTAATGTACAAATACATCTTCTTTGGTGACATTTCGATTTATAAATCCGTATCCATTTATGATGTTGAACCATCTGACATTGCCAAGGACTTTGGTGGTGAGAACTTTTTTCTCTGCATCTTCGCTGCCGGCGGCGGTGGCTAAAGAGGTGGCGGCCACGGTGCCCATGGCTGAGGGGGTTGCATCTCCACGGGTTTCCTGCGACGAGGGCGGCCGACACCTGTGGCCACAGCCTGGGGCACACCGCTGCCCGCAGGGCTCTTAAGCGCGGGGTCCTGGGGAGCCGCGGTGGCCCCCTCCACCAGAGCCTATGGGAGGGTGGTGGTGGTGGTGGTGGTGGCCTCGCTCATGCCTCCTTCTCCGCTCTCCTCAGGCGCCTCGGTAGTGGTTGGTCAGCGATTAGCGTGGCTGGTGGTCGCAGAGGCTGGGGCTCGCTCTCGGGGAGGCGGGGCAGATCTCGCGGCACAGGCGGCGGCGGCCGAGGTGGGCTCCTCGCTGGATCTTACTGCCGAAGGTGCTTCATCTTATTTCAGTGCCTAGCATAGGCATATGGTGCATAGTGATGGTTTTAAAATTGAAGTGGGGTTGGGACCGGTGGCTCACACCTGTAATCCCCGAACTTTGGGAGGCCGAGGTGGGCGGCTCACTGAGATCAGGAGTTCAAGACCAGCCTGACGAGCTTGGTGAGACTCTGTCTCTACTAAAAGTACAAAATTAGCCAGGCGTGGTGGTACATGCCTGTAATCCCACCTTCTCAGGAGGCTGAGGCAGCACAATCACTTGAACCCGGGAGGCGGAGGTTGCAGTGAGCCAAGATCACGCCATTGCACTCCCTGCCTGGACTGCAACAAGAGGGAAAATCCATCTCAAAAAAATTAAATTAAATTGAAAATGGAAGGAATCGGAGTGAAAAAGAAAACTGAAGGGATTCCAAGAATCACCTCATTTGGGATAGACCTATTATAATTGTATTTCTGAAATCAGTGCTGACTTCCTCTCACATTTCACAGGAAGCTAGACTTCTTTTTTTTGAGACAGAGTTTTGCTGTTGTTACCCAGACTGGAGTGCAATGGCATGATCGTGGCTCACCACAACCTCCGCCTTCTGGGTTCGAGCAATTCTCCTGCCTTAGCCTCCCGAGTAGCTGGGACTACAGGCACACACCACCATGCCCAGCTAATATTTGTATATTTAGTAGAGACGGGGTTTCACGTTGTTGACCACGATGGTCTCGATCTCTTGACCTCGTGATCCACCCGCCTCGGCCTCCCAAAGTGCTGGGATTATAGGCGTGAGCCACCGAGCCCGGCCAGAAGCTAGACTTCTTAAAGCTTGAAGTTTCCTTGGTGGGTTTTTTTTTTTTTTTTTTTTTTAGACGGAGTTTCGCTCTTGTTACCCAGGCTGGAGTGCAATGGCGCAATCTCGGCTCACCGCAACCTCCGCCTCCTGGGTTCAGGCAATTCTCCTGCCTCAGCCTCCCGAGTAGCTGGGATTACAGGCACGCACCACCGTGCCCAGCTAATTTTTTGTATTTTTAGTAGAGACGGGGTTTCACCATGTTGACCAGGATGGTCCCGATCTGCTGACCTCGTGATCCACCCGCCTCGGCCTCCCAAGGTGGGTTTTATTTAAATTGAATTAAAATAAGTATTTTACAGGGAAAAACTTCAAAACACTTTGCAACTTTGGGAAGAAAGTTAAATAAAACACCCTAGCCCCAAATTAAGTTCCCACTGAAATGAAAGACTTTTGCTCCTTTTAAAAAAAAAAAAAAAAAAATTCCATATTTAGTAAATAATGACTGTATTCTTTTGGAGATTAATTTAGAAACATAATCCCTATTTAAGAGCTTTTATATGCAGTCATGCATTGCTTGCCATGTGAGGAGGAGCTTGAGAAGTGTGTCATTAGGTGATTTCATCATTGTGCTAACATCATAGCATTTACTTACACAAACCTAGATGGTATAGCCTACAGCACACCTAGGCTATATGGTATGGCCTGTGACTCCTAGGCTACAAATCTGTACTGTATGTTACTATACTTAATACTGAAGGTAATTGTAACACAATGGCAAGTATTTGTGTATGTAAACATGGAAAAGGTGTAGTAAAAATACTGTATAAAAGTAAAAATAGGGGCTGGGCACAGTGGCTCACACCATTGTAATCCCAGCACTTTGGGAGGCTCAGGTGGGTGGATCACCTGAGGTCAAGAGTTCAAGACCAGCCTGGCCAACATGGCAAAAACCTGTCACTACTAAAAATACAAGAATTAGCTGAGTGTGGTGATGCACGCCTGTAATTCCAGCTACTCAGGAGGCTGAGGCAGGAGAATTGCTTGAACCCAGGAGGTAGAAGTTTCGGTGATCTGAGGTCAAGCCACTGCATTCCAGGCCAAGGAGACAGAGCCAGCGAGACTCCATCTCAAAAAAAAAAAAAAAAAAAAGATTTTGAAAAAATGTCTAATTTTTTTTTAGTCATAAAATGTAGTCTAAACATAGTTGAGACTTATGTAACATAGGACTCACCCTACTGTATTCACCATTTATTTCCTAACTGAAACAAGACTGGGAAGGAGGTATACATAAATAAAACCAAAGAAATACCCCCAACCCTACTCTGCTTTCAGTCTTCCCTTCTTTGGGCCTTTTCTAAAATTATTATATTTTTTGAATAGTAACACAAGTTACAAGGCAAGGCATGATGGATCATACCTGTAATCTCAGTACTGTGGGATTCCAAGGTGGGAGGGTCGCATGAGCCTAGGAGTTTGAAACCAGCCTGGGCAACATAGGGTTCAGGTTTTGTCGCTACAAAATATTTCTTAAAACTTAGCCACGCATGGTGGCGTGTGCCTGTAGTCCTCACTACTCATGAGTCTAAGGCAGGAGGATCACTTTAGCCCATGAGATCAAGGCTGCAGTGAGCTGTGATTATGCCACTGTATTCTAGCCTGGGCAACAAAGCAAGACCGTCTCAAAAAAAAAAAAAAATTTTGCTGGATTCAAGGATACATCAATTTTAACTTTTGAGTAATCCAAGTTGTTCTCAGTAGTGGTTTTCCCTGATTTTTATTCTCATGGCTATGATATAAGTATCTCTTTCCCCATAATTTTACCAAGCTTGCTCTGGTCTTTCTCAACCCGATAAATACCTAAAGGAAAGCTGTTCTTTGCCTAAAGTGAGATATTAGAGATATTTTCCCCAGGAGGTTTGTTGACTTTGTTGATGATGAAAAATAGACAAATGTATCCTTTCCTTTTGTGAGACAGGCTTGCTCTGTTGACCAGGCTGGAGTACAGTGGTAAGATCACAGTTCACTGCAACTTAAAACGCCTGGAGCCAAAGGATCCTCCTGCTTCAGCCTTCAAATAGCTAGTAATATAGGTACATGCCATCATGCCAAGCTAATCTATTTTTTAATTTTTTTGTAGAGATGGGGTCTTGTTGTTGCCCAAGCTGATCTTGAACTCCTGGCCTCAAGCGATCCTCCCACCTTGGCTTCCAAAGTCCTGGGATTACAGGTGTAAGCCACTGTGCCTGGCCTTATCCTTTACTTAATGGCTTCTAAGTTGTGAGTTAAGCTTAGAAAAGCTTTTCTTATTCAGATATTATTTTTAAGAGAATTCTACCGTTGTTCATTCTAATAATTTTATAATTTCATTTTTTACATTTAAACCTCTCATTATTCTGGAATCTATGTGGGGTAAGGAACAACAGTGGGGATCCAACTTTTAAAATTCGGGGTTGTTATTCAGTCGTCCCAACACCGCTTTTGAGTGACTGAGGCTCTTTCTAGATGTTAGATTTTTCAGAAGTTAGACTCACAAGTAGAGATGACTAGTGAGCTCAGAATTAGTGAAACAGACACCAAAATTAGGGATTTAGGGGCCCTAAAACACATATAACATCAAAAGCACAGATCCTGAAATCCAGCATCTATCACATATAAAGCATATTGACGACTCCTGCTGTTAATCTTGGAAGTCCTAAGGATGGATTATCTCTAATTCAGTTAAAATAACTATGTACTACAAATAGGTGTTAATAAACAAGCATAGATGGCATATTTACAGCTTGTATAATGTGAGTTCATAACTACTCTTTAAGAAGATAAGCAGCTAAGATTTTAATTGCCATTTATTGCTGAGAACAAGGTAATGGTACCCTGTTCCTTTACTTATAGGAGATAGTAGTGCCAAACTCAAACCGAGATCTTACATTTCCAAATGTTAACAAAATGCCATTGTACCCTGCACCAAGTACTTTTACAAAAAAATTAGTGAAACTTCCTACTCACAAGGAAGTTGAAACAATTTTTAATTCAATATTTAGACTGAACAGATACTTAATTTAAGCATGAAAGGAGTACACAGAAGTAGAAAACATCATCCTTGGCTTCAAGGAAACTTCACAGGTTTACAGCAGTTAAAAAAAGCAAGACTTAAGGGAACAGAAAGTAAGCCTGAAGGTCAGGAGCCATGTCTTATCATGTCTTACGGTATTTACAGCTAGTATAACTAGAAGGTAATGTTTGGTCAGTAAATATTTGTTGGTTGACTAAATGTACTGATTGAACCTTCTAGACAGGAAATATTAGACCCCATTCATTTTCCCCAGGAGCTAAATTTTGTCTGTGATCAAAGAATCAGCCAAATCATCAAATAGCTCTTAAACAATGTAACCTAGAAAGTTCAGGCACCACTTCTGGGCTACACCTATGACTAACTGTATTTCACAGAAAAATAAAAATTTTTAACTACATTCTATTACCTAACTGCCAAAAGGTTATGAAACAATTTCCATAACTTAATCCAGTTCAAATGCTACAAAAGACAACTATCTTTCACTCTTGCTTTATTCTAAATTAAACACATCCTCTGCTTCTATAATAAATTGTTCATATTTCTCATCAGTAGTGCTGCTTTTGTGTTGTTTCCTTCTTGTCAACATTATCTTTTTTTCAGATCTTTTATTTTTTAATACTAACAATCACTTATTTGCCACACACAATACTAAGGGAGAACAAAATGTGATAAAAAAATATGAGTATAAAAGTAAACTCAGTTTATAAACCATAATTTTATTTTATTTTATTTATTTATTTTGATACAGTCTTGCTCTGTTGCCCAGGCTCAAGTGCAGTGGCATAATCTCGGTTCACTGCAACCTCTGCCTCCCAGGTTCAAGCGAATCTCCTGCCTCGGCCTCCCGAGTAGTTGGGATTACATGCATGCACCACCATGCCCAGCTAATTTTTGTACTTTTAGTAGAGATTTGGTTTCACCATGTTGGCTAGGATAGTCTCAATTTCTTGACCTTTTGATCCGCCTGCCTTGGCTTCCCAAAGTACTGGGATTACAGGCGTGAGCCACTGCACCCAGTTCCAAAGTACAATTTTATATCCTGCCACAGACTTCATTTCAGAGTATGCATGCCCTATTCTCCAATCTATTCAGTGACAAGATATTGGCACTTGAGCCCGAAGGACTGTAACTTTTGTTGGCAAAAGCCTTGCATGGGTCAAAATAATTTTTAAACCTTTGACAAAAAAATCCCAAAAAGACCTGGCTTCAAATTTCAGTCGGTGGTTGCATGTTAGATATGTTAAGAGACCTAAACTCAAATAAAAAGGAAAGTTGACAGTAAACTAGTCAATGCAAAGAACTTACAAAAGCATAAGCCCAGAAATTACATGCGATGCCTCGTCTATAAAATACCAAGGAGGCATTACTGTTTACACCAGAGTGACAGGGCTTTCTTGAGTGATTATTTATACCAAAGGTTTAGTACAGTTAAAGAAGTCTGTCATAAATAGCCTCAATATGCCATAAGTGTGGATATATTCTAGGTTAAATTATATGAGTACTACAGAAAGAGATATGTGAGATAAACCAGCACAATACCTGCACACTGTTGAATCTGACAGTAGGAAATAAACAGCCAATTATGAAACAAACTCAATTCTTAATGTCGGAAACAGAATAAGGCTCCATTTTTTTTTGGAGAAAAGACACTAATCATTTAAAACAGATGGACTTTGCACCAACAATGTGAATATGCTTAACATACAGAACTGTACACTTAAAAATGGTTAAGATGCTAAATTTTATGTTATGTGTTTTGGAAAGGGTAATTTTTTTTTTTTTTTAACAGAGACTGTCTCGCTCTGTCACCTAGTCTGGAGTGCAATAGAGTACACAGCTCACTGCATCCTTCAACTCTTGGGCTCAAGTGATCCTCCCACCTCAGCCTCCCTAGTAGCTGGGACTACAGGTGTGTGCCACCAAGCCCAGGCAGTTAAAAAAATTTTTTTGGTAGAGATGGGGTCTTGCTATATTGCCCAGGCTCGTCTCAACTCTTGGCCTCAGCTTCCCAAAGTGCTGGGATTACAGGTGCTAGCCACTGCACTCAGCTATGTTATCTGTTTTTTAACAATTTAAAAGAAAAAAAACCCTTCAAATGAGCTTTAAATTTCCCTTGAATTTTTAAATGAATAGATTTATGAGTTATTGAGTACTTACTATATATACTTGTTACCATGGAGATGGAGGAAAAATATGGATAAAACCTAATTCCTCTTTTCAAGAAGCTCAAAGTTTTTTTTTTTTTTTTCCCAGACAGGATCTCACTCTGTTACCCAGGCTGAAGTGCAGTGGTACGATCAAGGCTGACTGCAGCCTCAACCTTCTGGGCTCAACAATCCTCCTACCTCAAACCTCTTGAGTAACTGGGACCACAGGCATGGACCACCATGCCCAACTAATTTTTCTTGGAGGGTGTAGGGGGAGATAGAGATGACATCTATGTTGTCTAGGCTGGTCTCAAACTCCCGGGCTTAGGCGCTCTTCCTGCCTCAGCCTCCCAAAGTGCTGAGATTACAGGCATAAGCCACAGCACACTGCCTAAAATCTCCTTAGAAACAAAAATTGCTAATAATTTTGGATCACCCAAAGTAGGTGAGTAGCCATTTACCTATCCTTTCTTAAACACATTATCTATCTCTTCCCCCTCCCTTCTCTCTGCAGGTTATAATTGTACTTTAAAGTCTCTGATGCTTACCATGAAAAATTCTGGGATTCAAACAGATTTGCTAGCCACTATGAAATGGCCCCACCTTGTGTGCCTGAACAGTTGCTCCTGGGAGTCCTCAAATAGAGGAGGTATTTCAAATTGGAGAGAAAAGCACATCTAGTCTTCTGGCCCTCTCCTAAAGCAGTCACCTCCATTCAATTCAACCCAACACTTAAAATTAACCACTGGGACAAACTACATCAAAAAGACATCTCGATTTCAGTCCTAATTATCTTCTCTATTCTGAGCTCTTACAAAGACTGTGGTTTAGGCCGGGCGTGGTGGCTCACGCCTGTAATCCCAGCACTTTGGGAGGCCGAGGCAGGTGGATCACAAGGTCAAGAGATTGAGACCATCCTGGTCAACATGGTGAAACCCCGTCTCTCCTAAAAATACAAAAAATTAGCTGGGCACTGTGGCGCCTGCCTGTAATCCCAGCTACTCGGGAGACTGAGGCAGGAGGCCTGAACCCAGGAGGTGGAAGTTGTGGTGAGCCGAGATCATGCCATTGCACTCCAGCCTGGGTAACAAGAGCAAAACTCCGTCTCAAAAAAAACACTGTGGTTTATGCCCTATGAATTACTCTTAATCAGAGTATTCTTTGTATTGTTTGCAGAGTTCTTTTGACACTAGAAAGGAAGTTTAAAGCTAATCAAATCTTTCTATCTCCCCAAAAGAATAGGTTAATGCATAGTAATGAAAATTTCATTAAAATATATTTATTGGGCATCTCTCCCACGTTTCATCAATGAATAGAATTTGTAGAAGTATAAATTAAAAAGTAAAGATTTTAATAACTGAAAATACTATTTCAAGCCCTGTCTTCTTGGTTTCTCTTTTTTTAATTAATTTTTTCTTTTTTAAAAAATGGAGAGGGTCTTGCTGTGTTGCCCAGGCTGGTCTTGAACACCTGGCCTCAAACAGTCCTCCAGCCAGAACCTCCCAAATTGCTGGGATTACAGGCATAAGCCACTATACCTGTCCCTGTGTTCCTTTCAACACACTTAAATTGATCAGACTCTGGCATTCAAACTGTGAAAATCCATTTCCAAAATTTGAAGAATTAGTCAACATTAACATACTTCTCCTTGAAGATGCCCTTATACGATAAGCTCTCCTGCATGACCAGATGTAGAGGTACAATGCTTCCCATAATTTCTTTTTTCTTTTTTTTTGAGACGGAGTTTCGCTCTTGTTACCCAGGCTGGAGTGCAATGGCGCTATCTCGGCTCACCGCAACCTCCGCCTCCTGGGTTCAGGCAATTCTCCTGCCTCAGCCTCCTGAGCAGCTGGGATTACAGGCACGCACTACCGTGCCCAGCTAATTTTTTGTAATTTTAGTAGAGACGGGGTTTCACCATGTTGACCAAGATGGTCTCGATCTGTTGACCTCGTGATCCACCCGCCTCGGCCTCCCAAAGTGCTGGGATTACAGGCTTGAGCCACCGCGCCCGGCCTCTTTTTAGTTTTTGAGACAGTCTTGCTCTGTCGTCCAGGCTGGAGTGCAACAGCACAATCTCGGTTCACTACAACCTCTGCCTTGCAGGTTCAAGCAATTCTGCCTTAGTCTCTCGAGCAGCTGGGATTATAACATGACAGCATGCAACCTGGAAAACTGGGCTAAAGAGCTGATTATTTCATTGATGAGGGAAAACCAGGACACCTTTTTTTTGTTTGTTTTGACAGAGGGTTTTGCTCTGTTGCCCAGGCAAGTGGTAAAATTATAGCTAACTGCAGCCTTGCCCTCCTGGGCTCAAGCAATCCTTCCACCTCAGCCTGACAAGTAGCTGGGACTATGAGCACACACCACTATGCCTGGATAATCTTTTTATTTTTTTGTAGAGACAAGGTTTCACTATGTTGCCCAGGATGATCTGGAACTCCTGGGCTCAAGCAATCCTCCCTCCTCAGCCTCACAAAGTCCTGAGATTACAGGCATGAACCCAGTATGCTTTTTAAACAGCAAAAACTGGAGGCAAATAATAATGAAAAATTTGTTTGTAGGCCCGGCGCAGTGGCTCCAGCCTGTAATCCCAGCACTTTGGGAGGCCAAGGCGGGTGGATCACGAGGTTATGAGATCGAGACCATCCTGGTCAAAATGGTGAAACCCCGTCTCTACTAAAGATACAAAAAATTAGCTGGGCATGGTGGCGCGTGCCTGTAATCCCAGCTACTCCGGAGGCTGAGGCAGGAGAATTGCCTGAACCCAGGAGGGGGAGGTTGCGGTGAGCTGAGATGGCGCCATTGCACTCCAGCCTGGGTAACAAGAGTGAAACTCCGTCTCAAAAAAAAGAAAAAGAAAAATTTGTTTGTAAAACAAGACATATATTTTTTTAAACACACATATAAAATCATTATGTTGCACAAAAGCTTGTTGCAAGTTATGTTTGTGCTATACCATCTGAAAGAATTAGAAACACTACTGATTCCAAGGCATGACTTCCACATTACTACACATCACAAAAACTTAATACAACACTATTGCTGCTGAGGCTTCTTCCCTTCTCCCCGACTAACTGAACTGCCAGGAAAAGCATTTCCTTACCCAGTGTTCAATGTCTATTTATAACTTTATTACCCCCTAAAAAAAGAAAAGATTAAAAATCTCAATATAAGTAATGTTAGCAGAAAACAAAGGTAAACAGGCGCTTTACTACTATGAAAAACTTACCTGTGCAGAAAATTCTTATTTCCTATCATAATTTTTGTAGCTGAACAATTCTAGAAAGGATAACTATGGCAGAATGACTCTGAGGGTATATGGTTTATTAAGTAATTGTTTAATCTCTTGATAGATGCATGTTGTAACTCTATTTGGTACCAAGATTTAGGCCAGAGTGCAGTGGTTCGATCTTGGCTTATTGCAACCTCCGCCTCCTGGGTTCAAGTGATTCTCCTGCCTCAGCCTCTGGAGTAGCTGGGATTACAGATGCCGACTACCATGCCTGGTTAATTTTTTGTATTTTTAGTAGAGACGGGGTTTCACCATGTTGGCCAGGATGGTCTCGATCTCTTGACCTTGTGATCCACCCGCCTCGGCCTCCCAAAGTGCTGGGATTACAGGCGTGAGCCACCACACCCAGCATTTACTGTTATTCTTTAAGAAACAACTGCAAAAAGAAAATGGCAACAGATTTTTCCAGCAAGCTGAGAACCTGGGAATTCCTGCACAGAAGACAAGAGAGCAACCTCCCCAGTTTCAGTAACCACTAGGTTTAGATTTTTTTTCCTGATTTTTACTGTTTTGGTAATATAAACTGAAAAAAGAAATATTAATACCACGTGGGGAGAACCCCAACCAAAGAAATCTGAAATATATAGTAAATGCTTTTTTTTTTTTTTTTTTCATTTTTGTTCATTTTGGATGCTGGTGCTAAACCTCCAAGTGTCATGATTTAAAAAGAAATTTTATGTCCTCATTTATTTCTAGGATGAAGGAAGGATAATACTTTTGCTTTCTTATGTGACTCTCTTTGAAAACATGCAATAAGAAATTCCTCAAAAATAACATTTTTACCCTTCAAAGGGAAAAAAAAAAAGATGAAGCACCTTCTTAGAATTTACATACTGTAAATTGTGCCAGTCAGTCAGTAATAAAATGGCTGGATTCTAGTTACAGTCGTATTTCAGGAACTTGTTTTACATGCTGAGTTTACAACGTAAGCCACTTCTCCATGTATGCACACAGGGTAGACCTCTGAAGGGTGGCACTGTAACTTCTAGGGTAATGTGTTAAGTCGAGGCAGGATGACAGTTCAGCCTCCTCCCAAGCTAGTGCAAAGGGCTCTTCACTTGGATTGAAGCCTTCTTTCTCAGACTGAATTCCCCACCCCCAACAGCCCTCCTACAGAAAATCTGGAGTCCTTGCTTATTCCCTGGCGGCCCCTACCCAATAGGGTCATGAATCAATTATCAAACATGCAACAAAAGATATAGAAAGTTTAGTGAAAATGGCAACATTTTGGAATAAATGACTGTAATGTGCGTTCTGCCTGCCACCCTAACTGGCACACATTTTGCAGGTCATTTGCTCTCCCAGGAAGGAGGAGTATTCTCAGATTTCACCTTGGTGGAGGAAGAGTTCAGGCTGCCAGAACTGGGCTAGCGCTTCCGAATATCCTGAGACAAGGTCCTGTGACTTCCCTGGGAAGCTCTGCGGTGCCCCCACCCCACCCCACCAGGCTGCTGGAGTCCTGGGACCCACCTGGGTCTTCGGCCCAAATCCTTCCTTGCTAAGGACAGGGGTGTCCCACCCAGGGGCTGAGTGGGAAGGGGGGCTTGGGCGGGATTGTGACATAAGATCACCCTGGTAACATGGAGCAGAACTGGACCCAATGCTAATAAAGGTAGTGTAAATAAAGGTGTCATAAAGGATGGGGCGGGGCACGTGCTTGTCAGGGACACCAGCCTCTAGGGTCTGCCAGAATGGTTCCTGCTCAATGCACAGAACCAGCGCTTCTCATGTTTGGGCTAAGTCTCTGGGCCCTATGGCCCCTCCTCACGTGGCTAATAGTCCAGGAGGCTCAGCCTCTGGAGTGGGTCAAGGACCCGCTCCAGCTGACCTCTAACCCCCTGGGGCCGACTGAGCCCTGGTCTTCCCACCCCTCCAATCTCCCATGGGAATCTCTCCATGGGCTAAGTTCCCCGGCAGACCCGGGGGGCTTTGATTACCTGGGGTCCTCTGCTTCCTCCCAGAGGTCAACCCCGCCCCAGGAATTGGCTGAGAATTTGGTCCAATTTCTGGACCCAGCTAGAGAGCTGCCCCCGGAGCCTGAGTACTCTTGGCAAGAAAGGCTCCCAGAGGTGAGTTCAATGCCAGACTGGGATCAGAAACAGACCCTAGTTCAGCCTCCTCACCTCAAAAGCAGGGTTCAAACTGCAGACCTAAATTAGACTGCCAATCATCAGGCAGATGAAATCCTTGTTCCACCTCTAGCTAGTAAGGTTTCAAAAGCAACGGAGTCTATAGTTTCTCCCAAGAACCTGAAGAAAGATTTAGCTCAGCACTGGAGACTTGCTAAGGTTGTGGGAATTCCACATCATTTTATATCAAAACAACAACAAAATTTGTTTTGCAGGATATTCTGTATCCCGGCAGCCTGCCTCCAGAACTCCAGGTGAACTTGGATGACCCTCCAGGTCCTCCTGTGGAGCCTGAACTTTCCCCCAGTGAGCAGGAGCAGCCAGCTCAGCCTTCTGAATCTTCTGGGGAGCCTGAACCTTCTCAGACCCAGGAGGAGACCCTAGCTCAGTCTCCAGAAGAGATGGAACCTTCTGCAATCCAAGAGGAAACCCCAACTGAGCCTCCAGGTCCTCCTGTGGAGCCTGAACTTCCCCCCAGTGAGCAGGAGCAGCCAGCTCAGCCTTCTGAGTCTTCCGGAGAGCTTGAATCTTCTCCAGCCCAGCAGGAAGCCACAGTTCAGGCTCTAGAGCCCCCTAAGGAGGTAGAACCTTCAAGCCAGCAGATGGTCCCAGCTCAGGTTCCAGAGACATCTAAGGAGGTTGCAGCTCAACCTCCAGCTCATGAGGTGACACTTCCACATCCAGACCATGTTCAGACTCAGCATTCAAACCTGACTCAAACCACAGTTCAACCTTTGGATCTGGAGCTTACCATCACTCCTGAATTTACTACAGAGGTTATACCTTCCACAGCCCTGACGACTACAGCTTCTCCTCCAAAACACCCTGAGGTGACACTTCCACCTTCACCCAAGGGTCAGGCTCAGCATTCAAACCTGACTCAACTCACAGTTCAACCTTTAGATCTGGAGCTTACCATTGCTCCTGAATCCACTACAGAGGTTGAACCTTCCACAGCCCTGACAACTACAGCTCCTCCTCCAAAACAGCCTGAGGTGACACTTCCACCTTCAGACAAGGGTCAGAGTCAGCATCAAAACCTGACTGAAGTCACAGGTCCACCTGCTGAACTAGAACCTACTCAGGATTCACTGGTGCAGCCTGAAACTTACGCCCAAAATAGGGCTTTAACTGCACGAAAAGAACAGGCCTCCACAAGCACCAACATATGTGACCTCTGTACCTGCAGAGATGAGACGCTGTCATGTATTGCTCTCAGCCCGAAGCAGAGGCTCCGCCACGTGCCTGTGCCAGAGCCGAACACCTACTACGGCACCTTCACTATCTTGTAAGAATCACCTTTCCCTCCATTGTCCTCTGTGTCCTGCCTGACATGGCAGGCTTTTCCTGGAGGCCTTCCCGGGCCATCTTTATCTCCCCAAGCCATACTGACAGCTGACTTTCTGCTTTCACCTTTGCTTGTCCACTCTTCCTTCTCCTCATTCGCCTTTACTGTTAGGCCCCTTCTCTAGTCTTTTACTTTTACTCTAGTCTTTTACCCTTACTCGTTTTCTTATCCGTTTTTCTTTAGCCTCATCACGTCATTGTTTAACCGCTGCTCTCCTCCCATTTTCACTTCAGCCTCTTTACAGCAGCCTGTCCCTCTCCCCATCTCAGTGATGATGCTCTAAGTGATAAAGAGTTGATTTTGGAGCCAGGCTGCCTGGGTTTGAACCTAGGTCTGTCATTTATTAGCGTGGTAACCCAGAGCAAGTTATTCTGCTCTGTGACTTTCCTCATCTTTAAACTGGGGATTATGCTAGTTACCATTTCACAGGATTGTTGCAAATTTAGTTGAGTGAATACATGAAATGCTTGCATCGGTGCCCAGCATATGTAGGAGTGTTGGTTGTTAACATGATTACTCAGTCCTCTAGTTTTGTCTGGAACTCATCTTTGTCCCTGGCTTTCTATATGTAGCACTTGTTTTGTGTCCAACCCAGGGCCAAGTGTGCTACCGTCTCCGGAACATGAAAGTGATAGGAAGGAAGAGAGCATAGGCACAAAAAGGGAGGTATATGTAATTAAGTACTAAAAGATAATGCAGAACATCAGTGCTAGAATTTACCAGAATCTGTGATCCTTAAGGTGTGGAGGTCAGGGAAAGCTATGTGGATAAGCTAAAATTTTACTTGGGTCTTAAAGAGTAGCTGTAATTTGTTCAACAGAAAAAAAATGGGAGTATAGTCCAGGCAAAGGCATGGCTACAGGTATGGTTGGAATTTAGTAGACCAATCTCGCTGCACAGAATCACATGAGGGAACAATGAAGATAAGATTGTGTAAAACCTTGATTATCAGCTATAGGAGTTTGAAAGTTACACAGTGAGATATGGAAAGCCATTGAAAGTTTCCAAGCAAGAGAGATGAAATGATTAAAACAGGAAGATCATTTTATTTTATTAGGTTTTTTGATTTAGGTTCAAGTGTGGAAATGAAAAGGATTGTTTTAGAATCCATATGTAGAGTGCCCTAGAGGAGAAAGCTTAATTCAGGGAGACAAATAGAAAGGTCTAGCAAAACCTAGGAGTAAAGTGTGAAGGGGCTAAATCAGATTGGTTGTAATAGAAGTGGAAAGAAAAATCCTAGGATGTTTCAGCAGAGGGCACTGGGCCAAAGCTTTGGTGTTACCTGGCATAGGGTTTCTTTCTTCTTATTTGTTGATAATGATAAGCCTTGCCCATTTTCTTTTGAATTATTTACCATTTTTGTATTGATTTTTTAGAAGGAGTTGTTCAGACACGTAAGTGCTTTTGGATAAAATACTTACATTCAAAGTAATTAACTGGAATCATCTGTCTAAGAGATTGGAGGGATAGGAAGTTAAGCTTCAGGAGATGCCTCATCATTTGTGCCAGTGGCCCCGCATTATTTTTTGATTAATTGTACAAACTGGAAAGCTGATAGCTCTGGAAATTAAAAGGCAGGTGTTATTTTCTGTAACTGAATATCCCTGACAAGGCTGCCATGATTCTTTTACTTATCCTGTTCATTCTTTTCCTACCTATTCAAGGATATAAATTGTGTTTCTTTACAGGAATTTACAAGGAAACTATATTTCTTATATTGATGGAAAGGTATGGAAGGCATACCATTGGACCGAGAAACTGTGAGTATATTCTCTCCAAATATGACAAAAAAACTAACTGCATTGTAAGATTCTTCTTGGTCCAGAATTTTGAGGTCTGTACTTCTGAGAAAAGGTATTTCCCCTCCATACTTCAAATCAACCTCTGTTGATTGCAATCCTATGGTTATTTTAGAATTAAATTTGGTGAGCTTTCTTTAAAGTAAGAGGTAATTTAAACTTATTTTTTTTCATACAAATAATACATGATTATATTCCCTTTTTTTCCTCCCTGCCCTCCCACCAGAGACAGGGTCTTATTTTGTTCCACAGGCTGGAATGCAGTGGCACAATCACTGCTCACTGCAGCCTCCACCTCCCAGGCTCAAGGGATCCCCCACCTCAGCCTCCAAAGTCTCTGGGACCACAGGTGCATCACAGCACGCCCACGTAATTTTGTATTTTTTGTAGAGGCAGGGTCTCCCTATGCTGCTTAGGCTGGTCTCAAACTCCTGGGCTCAAGTGATCCTTCCACCTTGGCCTCCCAACGTGCTGGTATTACAGGCATGAACCACCACCTCCAGCCCGTGATTTTATTTTTAATGTATAAAAATGAAATAACAGATAGAACAAAAACCCTCCTTGTGCCCTACTCCCTTGTTACCTGAGGTAATGCTACCCTGCATTTAGTATATATTCCTCAAGACTTTTCCCCTTTGCCTACATACATATTAACATAAAGCAAAATAGATTTGTTGTGTGGTTTTTAAAATCTTTTTTCTTTATATAAGTGGTAACATCTTGTAACTTGATTCTTTCACTTCATGATATGCCTTAGATTTCTTTCCTTCCCAGTACTTAGAATCCACAACCAGTACTTAGTTACCCTATTCATTTAAACAATCCCAGTACTTAGTTACCCTATTCAGTTAAACTCCTGCATAATCCATAGTATGGATGCATCATAGTTTATTTAATAATTCTCCCATTGATGAATGTTTAGATTAACATTTAGTTTTCTTGTTATGTGCATTGCTGCAATTAAATCCCTGCTCATGCTTCTTTGTGAACATGGGAAATTATTCCTGTAGGATAAATATCTAGAAATGGAATTGTTGGGGTATGGGGTATTTATGACTATGTAGACATAAAATTGTAATTGCCCTAAAAAATGTTGTGCCAACTTACTCTGTTGTCAGTAGAATATGACAGCATTCATTTCCCCACACTTTTTCACCTCTGGGTATTCTCCAACTTTTGTTGATGTTATGGCTGAATAAAAGGGATTCTATCTAAATTTGAATTTTTCTGATTACTCATGAATTTAATTAAATACCTTTATATGTTTATTGAACATTCATGTTTCTTCTCTGAGCTTTCTGTTCTTTGTTCATTTTCCTGTTGAATTGTTTTATCATTTTCTTACTGATTTATAGAAGGAATTAGTTTAGACACATAAATGATTTTGGAAAAAATGCTTACATTAGAAGTAACTGGCATTTTTCAAAAGAGTTTGTGTGTCACATCATTAGTTCAACTTACATTGAATTAATGTAATTATATTATATAGACAAGTCATACGTGAGTTCTAAATGAAAAATAAAACACATGCTGGGTGCAGTGGCTCACAACTGTAGCCAAGGTGGGTGGATCACCTGAGGTCAGGAGTTTGTGACCAGCCTGGCCAATATGGCGAAACCTCATACTACTAAAGATACAAGAATTAGCCAGGCATGGTGGTGGGTGCCTGTAATCCCAGATACTTGGGAAGCTGAGGCAGGAGAATCACTTGAACCTGGGAGGTGGAGGTTGCAGTGAGCCAAGATCATGCCACTGCACTCCATCCTGGTCAACAGAGTAAGACTCTGTCTCAATAACAAAACGAAACAACAAAAAAAGACAATCATAATAATCTAAGAAGAGGAATTATGGTTACTTTAAAATAGTTTCCCCCACCCTTGTCTGATATCTTATTGATAGGAAAAAAAAAATGCTAGAACCAAACAATTCTGTTTTCTAGCTCTCGAGGAGAGGTGTGACTCTCTGGGGGTTGTGTTCCAGATTGAGTCTTCTGAGAATAAGGAAGGTATGGGAGATGGCTAGTAAGGGAGTCTACACCCTTCCTCCAGGGTTCCAGGATGCTGTCCACTTTCAGACAATTGTTCCTGTGGGGAGGAAGACACTCTGCTGCCTGGCCCAAGGAAGAAGGATATGGGGTTGATGTGCCTCTGGCTTCTCCTACTGCCCTGTCCCAACCATTAACCGAGTATTTCTGATAAAGGAGCATCTGTAGAACTGCTTCCACATTTTGAGCTAACGTTGTGGATTTTAAAATTATTTCTGTTCTATAATTTTTAGGGATTTGGTAGTGGTTGGATGGGTAGAGACCTGGCATTTTCTCAATCTGCCACTTGAAATAGCACAACTTTTTAGGAAAGCAATTTTGTACCTTATTACATTCTAGAGAAACTCAGACAAAAATGTTATCAGGATACAAGTATAAGAATGTTCAAAGCAGCATTGTTTGTAATAAGGAAAAATTAGAAAAATCTCAGCATCCATCCACAGTAGATGAATCAGTACATTGCAGTATAATCATTCAATGGAATACTCTATGGCCGCATTATTCATTAGAAATCTAATGCAAGCCACATACATAATTTTAACTTTTCTGGTAGCCACTTAAAAAATAAAACTGAAAAGGAAACAGGTGAAACATGTTAATATATTTTATTTCACCCATTTGTCTAAAATATTATTTCAACATGTTATTATGCTATTAATGAGATAGTCTGTTTTCATACTAAGTCTTCAAAATATCCAAAGTGGTATCATTTCTACATGTAATTAGTATAAAAATTAATTGTGGAGTTTACATTCTTTTTTCTGTAGTAACTTTTTTTAACTAAAGTCCAAATTTGGTTTCTAAATTTTTATCAAAAAAACTTAATCTGTTCTGCTGAGAAATCTAGGGAGAAAGTTAATAATAATAATACTTAATCTGGCTGGATGTTAGGTAGCTCATGCCTATAATCCCAGCACTTTGAGAGGCTGAGGCAGGTGGATCACCTGTGGTCAGGAGTTTGAGGCCAGCCTGGCCAATATGGCAAAACCTCATCTTCTCTAAAAATACAAAAAATTAACTGGGTGTGATGGCAGACACCTGTAATCCCAGCTACTCGGGAGGTATAAGAATTGCTTGAACCCAGGAGGTAGAGGTTGCAGTGAGCCAAGATCGCATCATTGGACTCCAGCCTGGCTGATGAACGAAACTCCATCTCAAAAAAACAATCAGGCCTGTAATCCCAGCACTTTGGGAGGCTGAGGTAGGCTGATCACCTGAGGTCAGGAGTTCGAGACCAGCCTAACCAATATGGTGAAACCCCATCTTAAAAAAAAAAAAACACCTTAATCTATATTTAGATTTCATAAAATTTGCAGTTGAAAAAGTAGCATTGTTTACCCAAATTGTTGCAAACATACATTTTCTAACGACTGCATTGAGTGTCAGCTTTGAAATTTAAAAATAATTAAAATGATCAAAGATTCAGTTCCTCAGTCGCATTAGCCACTATCACTAGCCAAATGTAGCTAGTGACCACCTTATTGAAAGCACAACACAGGTCTTGAACCAGCCTCAGCAACATACATCTTAAAAGTACAAACAGATTATTGAGTGAAAAAAGTGATACAGAAAGTAATATGTATAATATGATATCATTTATATAATGTTCAAGAGACTAAACTATGTTATGACTGACACATAATAGGTAAAACTACATTTCATTTCATTTTATTTTATTTTATTTTTTTTTGAGACAGGGTCTGCAGTGGTGCAAACACGGCTCACTGCAGCCTGGAACTCCCATGCTCAAGTGATCCTCCCATCTGAACCTCTCTAGTAGCTGGGACTACAGGTGATGCCAACATGCCCAACTAATTTTTTTAATTTTTCTAGAGAGGAGGTCCTGCTGTATTACTCAGACTTGTCTCGAACTTCTGAGCTCAAGCAGTCCTCCCCTCTAGGCCTCCCAAAGTGCTGGAATTACAAGTGTGAACCACCATGCCCAGCCAGAACTGTATTTCTTATTTATTTTTTTGAGATAGAATTTCATTCTTGTCACCCAGGCTGGAGTGCTATGGTGTGATCTCAGCTCACTCCAACCTCCACCTCCCAGGTTGAAGCAATTCTCCTGCCTCAGGCTCCTGGGTGGCTGGAATTACAGGTGCCCGCCACCATACCCAGCTAATTTTTGTATTTTTAGTAGAGACAGGGTTTCACCATGTTGGCCAGGCTGGTCTCGAACTCCTGACCTCAGGTGATTCACCCACCTTGACTTCCCAGAGTGCTGGAATGATAGGTGTGAGCCACCATGCTAGGCCAGAACTACATTTTAAAAGCAAGAAAATTATTACAAAAGTCAGGATAGTGGTTACCTATAAGGATTAGAGAGAGGTTTATGATTGGAAAGGGTCACATTGGGGGCTTCTGGGATGCTAGCGGTGATCTTTTCTAACGATGTTACATGGGTATCTGCTTTATAATTATTAAACTGAATATTTGGCCAGGTGAGGTGGCTGACATCTGCAATCGCAACACTTTGGGAGGCTGAGACAGGAGGATCGCTTGAGCCAGGAGTTTGAGACTAGTCTGGGCAACAAAGTGAGACCCTGTCTCAGCAATTAAATTAAATATAAACAACATTTATATTTTGTGCACTTCTCAAATTTTGTGTAGTTCTCAAATTTTTTTAATAGGGAAAAATGTTGAATGGCTTGACTTGCAGCCCTGACATAGTTCCATGTGGGGCTTTCATAATAAGGTTTGGGGAAAGAGAGGAGCTGATCTTGGTGTCACCCAGGGTTGGATTCTAACAGGGACTTTGTGATTTAGAGAGGACGGATTTAATATACAATTTTGTGGGAAGAGTGGGTAGGGTGTGCTTGTGTGTGTGTGCATGCATGTGTGTGGTAGTGGTGGTGGTGCAGAGAGATGGACACAGAAATGAAAATGTAAGAAAAGGTTTTATGAAAGTAGAGCAGATACCATCTTGAAATTACTATTACCCAGCTTTCCTCCACATATAGGAGATAGTCCTGTGTAGCAAATAGTTGTAGTTTGCATTTTAATATAGAAATAACCTTTTCATTTTCCAGAATTCTCAGTGAAAATTATTTGACTGAATTACGTAAGGATTCATTTGAAGGCCTGCTATCCCTGCAGTATTTGTAAGTAAGTTAGTTAATCCTATTTATGAGTTTTAGTCATATTATCAGTAAAATGAGATAATCTCTAAGATTTCTTCCAGGGATAAAATTATTTAATTCTGTAAGTTTATATAGGGTCTTAGCCCATCTCTAGCATTAGTTACTTCCTATGCATTTTCAATTTTTAAATTATATAGGCAAGTTACAGACAGAAAAAAATTCAAATGGTGAATCTGAGCAGTGATTGACATTCATATGAACCTTGTTTTATGACTGTTCACATACCATCTTCTTATATTCAGTCTACAACCAAGAGATCAAATCTAATCTAGGGTCTATTTTTAAATAGCTCATTAAGTTAATAGTTTTTGCATTTTTTTTTTGAAACTGAGTCCTGTACTGTCACCCAGGCTGTAGTGCAGTGGCTCGATATTGGCTCACTGCAATCTCCACCTCCTGGGTTCAAGCAATTCTCCTGCCTCAGCCTCCTGAGTAGCTGGGACTACAGGTATGCACTGCCATGCCCAGCTAATTTTTTTGCATTTTTAGTAGAGTCCGGGTTTCACCATGTTGGCCCAGATGGTCTTGATCTCCTGACCTCATGATGATCGCCCACCTCAGCCTCCCAGAGTGCTGGGATTATAGTCGTAAGCCACTGAACCCGGCCGGTCTTTGCATGTTTAAAGGACTGTGAAAGAAACAGAAAAGAAACAGAGAAATATGCAACAGAGATCATATGTGGCCCACAAAGCCTAAAATATTTACTACCTGACCTTTCCAAAAAAGGATTTGAGAAAGTTGGTTTAGTTGAGTGAAAGGAATTAAAGATAAGTTAACATTGTTGCCTGAAAGAGAAGAAAATATAGACCACCTACATTCATTTGAACATCATCAATCTAGAATTTTTTGGTAATTTAATCTGAATTAAATTAACATTTAAATACTAAAAAATCAGCTGAATTATATAAATAATATTATCAAGAATATTAAGCTACCAAGAGAATAGCCTGGTATAAAGGATTTCATTTTAGGAATTGTTATATTAAAATAGATTTTTAAATGATGGTTAAGTGGTATAGCTACAAATGTTTACACTAAGTAACCGTATCAGAAATGCCCCTAAGTCTTCAATAATTACAAAACCACTATCTCCTCAACCCTGTTACCAAGGATGGATACCTGTATAGTATTTCTGTCTGTTTAGAGGTAAGAAGATACTATGTTCATTGCTGTGAAAGCATGATTCTCATCCTCTGTCTGTAGTCCAGAGGTGTGTATGTCATTAATCCTTATTAAGCTCATTAGTGATGCTCTTTTGCAAACAGATTCTTTCAAATGCAGAAGGCTTAAGGAAAGTGGGTATAAAGACCCTCAAGTGGATGCCAAAGTGCTACAGAGGCCACGAAGTAATAAAACAACATTTTCTTTAAAATAGTCATTTTCCTTCTATGCACTACTCACTCCCCCAGCTATCCATTTATTTTGCAAATATTTGAGTTTGCTTTATTTCCATGTATCAGTTTTAAACATGGTGGGCAATGCAGATAAGCAAGACCTAGTTCATGCTTTCAAGGAGTTTATGCTCAGAAGAAATAGGATGAAAAATAACTACATTGAAAAAGAAGAAATAAATGTGGGCACTAGGAGGGATAAATTGTTTCTGGAGCATAGAAGAGGGGGAAAATGACTTCAATTTGGCCCTAGGAAGGTGTCACTAGAACAATGCCATTTGAATAGGACTTTGAAGGGCCATTGTGTAACATTGGCCAGACATCTTGGGGAAAATATTCTAAGCTTGCAAAAGGAAAATGGGAGAAGGCCCAAACACAGGAAAGTATTTGGGGAATGCCATGAGTACCTGTAGAGTACAAGGAGGGAGAGTGGGAAATTGGAGCCAGATCTTCTAGGGCTTTCAATGCCAACCAAGCTCAGGAGCCATCATGGGGAACCGTGTTATCACAGCAGTGCTGTAAGATAGATCTGCCTCACAATCACTGGGAGGGCACATTAGAACTCATTTCTGGACTCCACCCTCATAATTATTGATTCCGTTCATCTAGAATGGGACCAAGAATTTGCATCTTCAATAATTTCCCAGGAGGTGCTGGTCTTTGCAGGCCACTTCTGGAGAGTTTATATGATGACTGTGTGTAGAGTAGTTTAGGAAGGGAGAGACCAGAGATGGAGACACCAGCCAGACAACATTACACCATCATAAAAATAAGAGGGCCAACTGTAGTCAAGAATGGGTTTTGACTATTGGTTTTTATTCAAAAAATGAAAATCCAGTTCCAGGTTGTTTTTGTTGCCCCATCACTATATAACTGAAGAAATTGCTTTCATGAAATATTAAAGCAATATGAAGCCAAAAATGAATTTCTATTAATATGATAGAAATTCTGTTAATATGATTTGAATTAGTTCAAAGTTATGTGTTAAAGGGTTAACTTCCTTCCAAATGATGTGAAAGGATGTCTTTTATTTCTTCTGATATTGAACTGGCTTAGGAAAACTGACCTAAACTAGGAAGGTATATAAATGTGAGACTATTTCTTTTAATATTGGAAACTATATGTAGAGATAAAAACTTTGAGCTCATAATCTGGGATTTGATGAGACTACAAAAGGGCATCTAATCAAGTCTACTGCTCTAGGAATAATTAATCCCAAACTCTATCAAGATCTATAGTTGTATATTTTATTTATTAAAACCATGAAGGTGAGACTCTAGGAGAGGTACAGGCAGGGTTAGGAGTTCTGGACAGTTTAAATACACATCCAGACGTTTAGAGCATAGATGAAAACTGTATTCAATACTATTCTAAACTCTTGCTATTTATCCATACTAATTTGACATCTAATAACTAATCAAGGCAATATTTTCCTTTTACTTTTCCTAGAGATTTATCCTGCAATAAAATACAGTCTATTGAAAGACATACATTTGAATCACTACCATTTTTACAGTCTATGTAAGTTACAAATAAAACTTGATTTCATTTGGAATTTTTATAAAACTTAATTATAAACCTCTTTGCTATTCATTTTGAAATATGATTAAAATTTTGCCAGTAGAAAGTTAACTAAAATTATATAGCAAATCCTTTTGTCTATAGCAAAGATTAGTGTGAACATTATTACACAAATCATAGTGAATCATCAGAGAGCAGTGGTTCTCAACTGGTGTGATTTTTATACTCAGGTGACATTTGGCAATGTCCAGAGACAGTTTTGGTTGACAAAACTGTGGGTGTGCTTCTGGCATCTGGTGGGCAGAGGCCAGAGATGCTACTAAACATCCTCCAGGGTACAAGACAAACCCTCACAGCAAAGAATTTTGTTTTGTTTTTGAGACAGAGTCTCGTTTTGTTGCCCAGGCTGGAGTGCAGTGGCACGCTCTCAGTTCACCACAGCCTCTACCTCCCAGGTTCAAGTGATCCTCAGCCTACCAAGTAGGTGGTATTACAGGTACTCACCACCATACCCAGCTAATTTTTTATATGTTTATAGTAGAGATGAGGTTTCACCATGTTGGTCAAGCTGGTCTCAAACTCCTGACCTCATGATCCGCCCGCCTTGGCCTCCCAAAGTGCTGGGATTAAGGCTTGAGCCATGAGCCTGGTGGCAAAGTTATATAGACCAAAATGTCGATGGCACTGAAGTTGTGAAATCCTGTTCTAGAGAAATAAAGATCACTTAACACAAGTATTTACTGAGCATTCACTGTTTTGTATCTAATACACCACATGTGCAATGTTAAAGTATAAATCATAAGCTAGTATCCACAGTGCACCGAGAAAGGATTCAGGTTGTGTTCCATCCTATATAAATTAGAATCATGGCAAATGATAAATGTTCTGAAATAATTTTTTTTTCCTTTGGCTTGTGTCTTGTTTTGTAGAAATCTTGGTTGCAATTTACTCACAGAACTGAGCTTTGGAACATTTCAGGCCTGGCATGGAATGCAGTTTTTACACAATTTGTAAGTGAAATAGAAAATGAATATGTGTAAACAATTATTTACATGTGAAAACCTCATACAATTATTGGTTAGCTGGGTATAAGCTCATTACAAACTCTGAAAAGTATGTCTTAAGATCCATTTATTTTTCTCAAATGGGGAAACTAAGGTACAAAGGCCAAGAGACTTACATAGCTTATATATGACTTGCTCTGCTTTTCCTAGTTCTGACCTTTGGCATGGGCAAGAAAAGGCATCAAACAAATGACCCTCAAATTAGCCTTGTTGACAGGTGTGGTGGCTCAGGCCTATAATCCCTGCATTTTGGGAGGCAGAGGCAGGCAGATCACCTGAGGTCAGGAGTTCAAGACCAGCCTGGCCAACACAGTGAAACCCCATCCCTACTAAAAACACAAAAAACTCAGCTGGGCATAGTGGTGGTTTTTTTGCTCCCTGGAGGACTTTGTGTTAAGCTTCCTTCCTTGTAGCTAAATGTTGCAGACATTTCAGCAGTTAGAAACTGTGCATAGGTGCAGGAATCAAAGTTAAATCCAAAGTGTAGGGCCACGTATGGTGGCTCACACTTATAATCCCAGCACTTTGGGAGGCCAGGGCGGCTGGATCACCTGAGGTCACAGGGGTTCAAGACTAGCCTGGCCAACATGGCAAAACTTGTCTCTACTAAAAAGACAAAAATTAGCAGGGCATAGTGGCACGTGCCTGTGATCCCAGCTACTCGGGAGACTGAGGCATGAGAATGGCTTGAACCCAGGAGTCAGAAGTTGCAGTGAGCCAAGATTTTGCCACTGTCCTCCAACCTCTGCCAGGCTAGTCTTCAACTCCTGTGACCTCAGGTGATCCGCCCACTTCAGCCTCCCAAAGTGTTGGGATTACAGGTGTGAGCCACCACACCTGGCCAAGATGGTGTTTATGTTAAGTTACGGTGCAAAAAATAATTTGTAAAGAAAATACATCGCCATAGCTTAATTTCATATACTTTCCTGACTACTCTTTGACCATAAATACAAATTTTATTCCCTTGCAGCTCAAAAATTCTGTGATTTCTCTGTATAACATAACCAGCAAATCAGAGTGGGTATGTTCAATGGCCTGAAGGGGGCTTTAGACTCAAGGTGAAGATTCTCCTTTACATCTGACTTTAGAAAGGACTTTCTACCTCTCTTTAGTTTCAGAAGTCTAGTTTCACACAGTTCATTTTGAGGTAGAGGGAGGCGTTCAGGAAGTGTCTGGACGAGAGCAACAGTTTCTGCAGATGCTCCCCTCTGTCCTCATTAATTTGCTGATGCCTAACTTAGGAAAAAGACACTGAGGGTCTGTTTTTCTTTTGCCCTCACATCAGAGAACAGGCTCATTAGGTCCCTCCACCAAGAGGTGTAGGTAGCATTAATAAAATGTCTTAAACTCACCACCGTTACTAAGCACTTTATGATACTGAGAGTCCCTCATAAGAATCTGGTGGCCGGGAGCAGTGGCTCACACCTGTAATCCCAGCACTTTGTTAGGCTGAGGTGGGTGGAACCCCATCTCTACTAAAAGTACAAAAATTAGCTGGGTGTGGTGGTAGGTGCCTATAATCCCAGCTACTCAGGAGGCTGAGGCAGGAGAAGCTCAGGAGGCTTGAACCCAGGAGGCAGAGGTTGCATTGAGCCGAGATCATGCCATCGCACTCCTCCCTGGGCAACAGAGTTCGACTCAGTCTCAAAAAAAAATAATTTGGCCAGCTTCACTGCAATTATGTAGGCAATACCGAGAAAACACTGGAATCACAGCTGATAAAAATGAATGAATTCACTCAAAAACATTGACTCAGTGCCATGTCCATTTGTGCCAGGTACTGGTACTGAGTACTGGGGGTACAAAAATCTGTCTTAAAGACACACCAAGATGGAGACTTTCATACCTCAAGAAGGAAGCAGATGCTGATGGGAAAACATAGGAGAGCTATGTGGGCATCTGTACAGCAGGGTGACAAGGGGAGACCAAAGTAGGAATGGGTGGTCGGTTAAGGAAGACTCGAGGAGACACTACCTTGCTTATCTCGAGTTTCTGTGTTCATCTTAACAGAAAAAGGCATTTGCTTCATGGTGATGAGAAAAATCAGAGCTAGCTGATACTGGAAATTAGTACTCATTTCATATAAACAGAATAGAGCTGTACCCTTCAAACTAAGACACAGTTACTTTCAAAGATTGACACAACAGTCTCAACACAGCAAGTGTATGTTGGGGACTGGGCTCCTTTGTTTGGAGACAAATTTTTCTTGTAAACAAAGCTACATTGCAGAATCATATTTGGCATATGTGACATATAGCCCCATTGCATTTTGTTCCAAAGGCAAATTGCCGAGTAATTTATTTGAGCAATATGGCACCATTCTGTGGTGTTTATAAGTTGAAAGAATGTATTTTCCTGCATTACTTAAGTTTGAAGAAAAAAAAGAGTCCCCAGCTGTGATGAATTGATGGTGCATTGAAAAGAGCCTAAGCTTCAGGACTTCTCACTTGCACAGGCCCCTTCCAAGGTTCTGGGAGGGCCCCTGGCAAATTTTGTATTCATTATTTTTTATGTTTTCACTAGATAAGGTTCAGACCCCACAAAATTCTGAAATAGCCCCTGGGTTCCAAAAGTTACAACCCAGTAAATTTCTTGAATGAAGCATCTATGTTATTGACCAATACTGACTGGCCAAGTTAGTGTCGTAGGGTCAGTCTATTTTGAATCTGAAATCCATCTCAAAGGCATACCAAGAGCTTATTAGTGGACTTAACTGGGTTCTGCTGGCCCAAGCGCAGTAAAGCCAAACAGCTATATCAAGGGTTTGTATTGGGGAAAGGAGGGCATTTATTTGCAAGGCATTCAAGCAAGAAGGACCAGGCAGCTATCAAAATCTTCCTCTGAATGGTAGCAATAATCATGAATGAATCATGAATGATTACAGATGAAATCATGAATGAAATGGTTTATGGAAAACCAGCAATGGTTGATGATCCTAAATGTTGAGTATGTTTATATTTTTTCCCTGACTTTAAAGTGCTTCTCCTTTATTTCCATACACAGGTCTAGTCTGATGGCTTATCTTTAAAAATTCTTCGTCATTTCATTGGTTCTAACAATACAAACTCCATAATTTTAGAAACTGGATGACTTTGCAATGTAGAAAGGCTGGAGTGCAGTGGCTCGCTCTCAGCTCACCACAGCCTCTACCTCCCAGGTTCAAGCGATCCTCAGCCTACCAAGTAGCTGGGATTACAGGTTTTATTCAGATACAGCACGCTCACATGCTGGCTTGTCTGTGGCACATCAATATCGTGCCAAGAATGTAAGCACAAAGAGAGAATAGGAAAATCCAGGCTTTATCCCACTATCAGAATATTAGTGATGTAGGTGTGGCCACCCTGTGATGGCAAATTGAGTCACAAGCATGCCTTGTTGTTCCCCCCAGTCTGCTGACATCAGCTTCCTTTACATAGCAGTAGAGGCACAAAAGTTTGCATAGTTGAGGGTATTGTCATCACATTTTGGTATGTACCAGAACAGAGAGGCACAAACATTAAAGATGAAAAGAACAACTCGGGTCTGCTCTTTGGGGTGATTTAGGGTGGCTGTTTAAATTTGTAATGGTTGAAAAGTCTTGAGATTGTCACACCTGGCAACTCTTATACTTTTCTTCTCTCACTGCAGCTTATTCTTCTCCCCTGTGTAACAAGCTGTCTTTTCACAGAAGCTTAGCGTTTTCTTCCTCTGCCCCATAGCATTTTTTCAACACTTACATTTATTAGGTGCTGTTTATGTTCTAGACACCTAAGTGCTTATACAAGTGAGATAACATGTCCAAAGTTCTTAGAATAGTGCTTGGCATATGGTAAATGCTCAATACATGTTACCTCCTATAAGAGCTCATTTTCATTTTTCCAACAACTCTGTGATGTGGATATTATTATCATTTCTATTTTGCAGATGAGGAAGTTGAAACTCAGAGATGCTGGGTAATTTACTTAGGTTCACGTGGCTATTAAGTGGCAGAACCACTTAACAAACTTTGCAAGTAATTTTCTATGCAGCTCTTAGTTCCTCTGTAATAGGAGCTGAATGATGACAATTTGGCTTTGTGTGCATTATATCCCACTTTCTAACTTGAATAGGACCTTTAGAACACTGACCTCCATTTCCCTCTGAGAATCCCATGCTTCTGGAGCTCCTGACTGTACTATTTCTGGGCATCCCCAGGGTTTATGCTCACTGGCCAGTGCTGATGTGACATCACGATGGCTGAGCACCATCATGTGCTGTGTCCAGCCCACTGCTAGGTGCTATACTCATTTATTCCTCAAACTGCCTTGGGCTGTAAATGCTACCCAGAAAGATTCATGTTCTTACTCAAGTCACTTCACCGGAAAGTGACAGAGCCAGAATTCAAGCCAAGGTCTGCCTGATTCTCGGTTATTCTTCATTGCCAGGGAGTCTTCTTCAAGATTATTCTCAAGAGTTTAAGATAGAGGCTCATGGCCAGGCATGGTGCCTCATCCCTGTAATCCCAATACTTTGGAAGGCTGAGGTGGGCAGATCACTCAAGCTCAGGAGTTCAAGATCAGCCTGGCCAACATGGTGAAACTCCATCTCTCCTAAAAATACAAAAATTAGCCAGGTGTGGTGACAGACACCCATAATCCCAGCTACTCTGAAGGCTGAGGCAGGAGAATCACTTGAACCCAGGAGGTGGAGGTTGCTGTGAGCCAAGATCATGCCACTGCACTCCAGCCTGGGCAACAGAGTGAGACTCCATCTCAAAAAAAAATAGGCTCACCATTTCAGATTCTCTAGACTTCGTCCCTGAAAAAGGGTTTACGTGGTACAGTCAGAGATCTTGTATTGAGGAGCTTGGTATGGAGAGATGTGTTTTCATGGATCAAGGACCTATGTAGATGAATAAAGGAAAGGGATTACTTTCTTCCCAAGTACATCACACATATTGGATGAGGGTCTAGGTCACCTTATTTCTTTGACTACCTTCCTCCATGGAACCAGATTTCCCTGACTGCCTTGGGATTCTAGCATAGATCATTTTGGAGTTTGTCATTTAAATTTAAATTTATTTTCACGGCGTGCTTTGGACATTTTTTCAGCTAAAGCTGCTTGGATTTCAGTACATCTAGGACAGTGATGACATGCTCCAGTGTTTTTGTCTCTGTTTTCTCAGTTAATAGAAAGGAAACATAACCCATCTGTCTGGCCCTATATAGAAGAATTTGGAGAAAAAATAAAAAGCAGGCAAGAAATGTTCCCTTATTTTGTGAGTTACCTTTATTCTGTCCCATGGTTCTGTAGCAAAAGGCTGGCACAAAAATATTTGAGTTTTTCTCTTCTAATAAGACATACTTAAAAAATTATTTAGAGCAATACTTCTTAAACTTTGACTCTGAGACTGAGTCAAAGTTTGCCAAAAGCTTGCCATATTTTATTCCCATAAAGATATCAAAAAGGCAATGGACTGGGAGTCAGTACACCTTAGTTTAATGTATAAAATTAAGGACTTGAACCAGAAATGGAAATGATCATCTACTGTGCATATAAAAACACTTGAGGCCGGGCTCAGTGGCTAATGCCTGTAATCCCACCACTTTGGGAGGCTAAGACGGGCAGATCGATTGAGTTCCAGGAGTTCAAGAGCAGCCTGGGTAACAAAGTGAGACCCCGATCTCTACAGAAAAACTTTTAAAAAGTCGAAACATAAATATAAATAAATAAAAACATTCATATCATTTGGTTTGTGGAAAAGAGTTGCTATAGAGTCCTCAAAGTTGAGCTGTTGAGTCAGTTCCCACTCAGTCTCTCCATGGTCCAGGCACAACCTTAGTCAAGAAAAGAATGCCCTAAAACAGGAGGAATATAGGATAATAAAGGAAAGGAGGAAGGGAAATGAAGGAAAGAAGGAACAAAGAAAGAAAGAAGAAATGAAAGGAGGGGGGTGAGAAGGAAGGAGGGAGGGGAATGAAAGAATGAAAGAGAAAGAAAGAGGGAGGGAGGGAGGAAAGGGAAAGAAGGAGGGCAGGTGGGGAATGAAGAAAGAAGAAAGAAAGAATTTTAAAACCCATAAGGTTAAAGTAAACCCTTTTTCTTCATACAGATTAAACACATGAGTTCAAATTACAGCTTTACTTCTTAATAGCTTGGTGACCTAGGACAAATTATGTAAGCTCTCTGTTCCTCAGTTTCCTCATTTATAAAATAGGGCAATAATAATGTCTGCCACATAAGGTTATTGTGAGGATTAAATGTGAAATGCCGATCACAAATACCTGTCAGCCCAATAGATACTCGCTGTAATAATTATTATTTTTATAATTTCTGCAAAAGTATGGTGATGATTCTTGGGTTAACCTAAAGGCAGATTTTCTTCTATTTCTTCCTATTTCTTTTATTTTTTTCATTCACTTTAAAGAATTAAAAGGAAAACAGATTCCAGCATTTTGGAATAAAAATTTGCATCAAAATGAATTTATTCTTTTTATTGACCTACAAACAAAATGTTATTTTTATTCAATAAACATTTATTAAATGCCTTGTAAATTTCAGACATCATGCCCAGCACAGGGGTCACAATGGCAATAAGATGTGGTGTCTTCCCTTAAGGAGCTGATAGTCCAGGACACTGACAGGTAGACAGGTGGTTACATGCAATGTGGCAACGACTGTGATGTGATACTAGAATACAAGTGGGAGTATGTGATAGGAGTATGGTTTTGACCTGTTCCTCCTCTTAGATTTATCGCTTTTTCTTTGGCTGTAAAGCAAAAGAATTGGTCCTATTTTTTTTTTTCTTCCTTAACTGCAAATTAGACCATAAATTTTAAACTTTATAAAGATAAGACAAGTGGCCAGGCACAGTGGCACACACCTGTAATCCTAACACCAGAAGGCTGAGGTTTGTGGATTACCTGAGGTCAGGAGTTTGAGACCAGCCTAGTCAACATGGTGAGAAACCCTGTCTCTACTAAAAATACAAAAATTAGCTGGGCATCGTGGTGGGTGCCTGTAATCCCAGCTACTCGGGAGGCCGAGGCAGGAGGCGGGAGGATCACTTGAGCATGGGAGGCAGAGGTTGCAGTGGGCTGAGATCCAGCCATTGTTCTCCAGCTGGGGTGACAGAGCAAGACTCCATCTCAAAAAAAAAAAGCAACTTGAATTATGGAGGACACTAGAAACAGTGTTTCCTACGGGGTCAGGGCTTCCTACCAGCAGAGTCACTTCTGGGGTTCTTGACCTGAAAAGTTCTGTGGCTTATTTTTTTTTTTCCCACACATTTTGTTTTTTCTATGTTTTTCCCTCTTTCTTTCCTCTGCTTTATCTTCTAGAGACCTAGGTAGTTCCCAGAGGAACAGTGCTTTATGGAGTCTAATGGTGATTTATTGGGCAAAAACAGAAAATGATTTTTTTTTACCTACAAGTTCCATACCAAAAAAATGAATATAAACTTTTTATGCAGTTTCACACATTGAAAATGCAGGTAATTTTAATTCCTTGCTCTTTTCAGAATTCTCAATCGCAATCCTCTGACAACTGTCGAAGATCCATATTTGTTTAAATTGCCAGCATTAAAATATCTGTAAGTATTACAGTCCTCTCATGAGTGATGAAATGATTTATGCTCTTTTTAAGTTTTTCATCAATGATTTAATATTTTGCATTTAGGCCAAAAAGTCATAATTTAAATTTAACTGGGTTATTAAAACAAGTTATTGGCAAATAAAAGGATTAAGAAAGGATATATAATAGTCAAGACAGCCAGCAGGGGAAGAGGACAGTGTTGAAGAACCCATACGGATTTGGAACATGCAGACACATGGAGGAATATTACTTAATTAAGAGACAAAGGAAGAATAGGTGTTCATTATTCTAAAAAGGAAGAAAAAAGTAAATAATCAAGATGAGTGAATCCAATATGAAAATGAGAAGATAATGGTTAGGAAAAAAAAAGTACAAGTTCTACTCTTGAATATAATTAATTTGATGATGCAAATTAACTTAAATTTCTTTAATAAGAGCTCTCTGGAATTCTGCAGCAAATAAACTCTTGAGTTGGCTTGTTTTATAGAAAAGCCAAAATTGAAGTAATCACATGTTCTTGAAATATCTTTTTTAAGTACAGAATTTTTGTATCGGCATTTATATCATGAATGTTTTGGTTTTCCTCTTCAGAGACGTGGGAAAAACACAAGTTCCACCTACAACTGTTAAGAACATCCTCATGATGACTCTTGAATTGGAAAAACTGTAAGTTATTTTCACTTAATTGTTTCTTTAGGTTGGTTTTAGTTTTTTTTTTTTTTTTTTAGAGACAGGGTCTCACTGTGTTGCCCAGGCTGGAGTGCAGTGGCTATTCACAGGCGTGATCCCACTACTGATCAGCATGGGAGTTTGGACCTGCTCATTTTCCGACCTGGGCCGGTTCACCCCTCCTTAGGCAACCTGGTGGTCCCCTGCCCCCGGGAGGTCACCATATTGATGCCGAACTTAGTGCAGACACCCAATCGGCATAGCTCACTACGGCCCAGAACTCCTGGGCTCAAGCGATCCTTCTACCTCAGCCTCCCGAGTAGCTGGGACTACACGTGCCACCGTGCCAGGCTGTTTTAGTATTTTCTTAAGTCAGGTTTATTGAGATATAATTTTCATATAACAAAATTCACCCTTTTTAAGTGTACAGTTCGATGAGTTTTGACAAATGTATATTGACATAACCACCACCACATTCCCAATATAAAGCATTTCTGTCACCTCAAAAAGGCTCCTGGTGTCCCTTTGTAGTCAGTGCCCTCCTCCCACCATCAGCCCTAATGGTTAGCTACTAATCTGATTTCTATTCCTATAGTTTTGCCTTTTCCAGAATGTCTTATAAATGAAATCATACAGCATGTAACCTATTGTATCTGGCTTCTTTTACTTAGCATAATTTTTTTTTTGAGACAGTTTCACTCTGTCACCCAGGCTGCAGTGCAGCCATGTGACGTCAGCTCACTGCAACCTCCACCTCCCAGGTTCAAGCAATTCTCCTGTCTCAGCCTCCTGAGTAGCTGGCTGAGATTACAGGCACCTGCCACTATGCCTGGCTAATATTTCGTATTTTTAGTTGAGACGAGATTTCACCATGTTGGCCACGCTGGTTTCGAACTCCTGACCTGAAGTGATCCACCCACCTCAGCCTTCCAAACTGCTGGGATTACAGGCATGAGGCACTGTGCCTGGCCTCACTTAGCATGATTTTTTTTGAGATTATGCTATCGTCCATGTTGTTGCACCTGTCAGTACAGCTGGCCCTCCATATCTGCAGGTTCCTCATCCATGGATTCAACTAACCATGGATGGAGAGTATTTGGAAAAAGTAAAATGTATGAAATAATAAAAACAGTAGAAATTTTAAAATATGGTATAATTATTTACATACCATTTATACTGTATTAGGTATTTAAAGTATACCCAAGGCTATTTACAAATACTATGTTATTTCATATAAAAGACTTCAACCTCTGTGGACTTTGGTATCTGCAGGGGGTCCTGGAGCCAATCCCCTGCAGACACCGAGGGACAACTGTTCACTCCTTTTCATTGCTCAGTAGTATTCCAGTTGTGTGGATGTATCCATTTGTTTATCCATTCATCAATGTATGGACATTTGGGTTGTTTTCAATTTTTTGGCAATTATGAATAAAACTGCTAAAAACACTCATATACAGGTCTTTGTGTGTGAACCTATGTTTTTATTTCTTTTGGGTAAATACCTAGGAGTTGGATTGTTCACATGCTAAGTGCATATTTAACTTTTTAAGAAACTGCTAAACTGTTTGCTAAAGTGTCTGTGCCATTTTACATTTCCACCAGCGTTGTGAGTGTTGCAGTTGTTCCATAACTTTAGCAGATTCTTTTTTTTTTTTTTTTCCTTCGACACAGTCTTGCTTTATCCCCAGGCTAGAGTTCAGTGGCACAATCTTGGCTCACTGCAACCTCCACCCCCTGAGTTCAAACAATTCTCCTTTCTCAGCCCCTCAAGTGGCTGTAGGCACCCACCACCACACCCAGCTAATTTTTGTATTTCTAGTAGAGATGGGGTTTTGCCATATTGGCCAGGCTGGTCTTGAACTTCTGACTTCAAGTGATACATTCGCCTTGGCCTCCCAAAGTGCTGGGAGGGGTGAGCCACTGTGCCCAGCCCAGCTGATTTTTTTTTTTTTTTTTAATTTTTTAATTGCCAAAGCAGGAGTGCAGCTGCACGATCTCAGCTCACTGCAACATCCCCCTCCCAGGTTCAAAGGATTCTCCTCCCTCAGCGTCCTAAGTTACTGGGATTACAGGAGCCCACCACCACGCCCAGCTAGTATTTGTATTTTTAGTAGAGACAGGGTTTCAGCTTGTTGGCCAGGCTGGTCTCAAACTCCTGGCCTCACATGATCCACCCACCTTGTCCTCCCAAAGTGCTGGAATTACATGAATGAGCCACCATGCCTGGCCCAGCCCAGCAGATTCTTGTATTTCAGTTTTTAAAGAAATGTTTGCCCTTCTACTGCTAGATGTGTAGTGGAATCTCATTGTGGTTTTAATTTGCATTTCTTTAATAGCTAGTGATGTTGAATGTCTGTTCATGTGCAAATATCTTCTTTACTAAATTGTTCAAATCTATTCACATATTTTAATTGAGTATTAATCTTTTTATTAATGAGGTTTTTTCCCCTCCGTGAGAGATTATTTATTATTGAGTTTTAAGAGTGCTTTATAGACTCTAGATACAAGTCCTTTCAGGGACCAGGTGCAGTGGCTCACGCCTATAATCCCAGCACATTGGGAGGCTGAGGCAGGAGGATTGCTTGAGGCCAGGTGTTTGAGACAACCTGGGCAATATGGTGAAACCTCATCTCTACCAAAACTATAAAAACAATCCAGGTATGGTGGTGCATACCTGTGGTCCCAGCACTTTGGGATTGCTTGAGCCTGGGAGGTCGAGGCTGCAGTGAGCCATGATAACCACTGCACACCAGCCTGGATCACAGAGTGAGATGCTGTATCAACAATTAAATAAGTAAATAAAAATTTTTTTAAAAAAAAGGCCTTTTAGATATGTGTTTAGTAAATCCCTTCTCTCAGATTGTGGTTTGTTGTTTCATTCTGTTAAAAGTGTTTTCTGGCTGGGCACAGTGACTCACGCCTGTAATCCCAGCACTTTGGGAGGCCAAGGCTGGTGGATCATCTGAGGTCAGGAGTTCGAGACCAGCCTGGGCAACATGGCAATATCCCATCTCTACTAAAAATACACAAATTAGTGATGGCAGGCACCTGTAATCCCAGCTACTCAGGAGACTGTGGCATGAGAAATGCTTGAACCTGGGAGGTGGAGGTTGCAGTGAGCCGAGATAGCACCACTGCACTCCAGCCTGGACTACAGAGTGTGACTCTGTCTCAAAATGAAAAATAAATAATAAAAGTAAAAGTGTTTTCTGAAGAGCAGAAGTTTTTAATTTTTATAAGCTTTAAGTTAGCAATTTTTTCTTACATGGCTTGTGCTTTTTCCTTACCTAAGAAATCTTTAAGAACCTGTTGCCTAATCCAAAGTCAAGAAGATTTTCTTTTATGTCTTCTCCCAGAAATTGTATAGTTACATTTAGGTCTATGATTCATTTTGAGTTAATTTGCATATATGGTGTGAGGTATTTTTTTTTTTTTTTCAATTTTATTTTTTCGTTTTAGTAGAAACGAGGTCTATGTTGCTCAAGCTGGTCTCAAACTCCTGGCCTCAAGTGATCCTCCTGCCTCACCCTCCTAGAATGCTGGGATTACAGGCATGAGCCACTGTGCCTGGCCTTCTTTGCAGTTAAAATTATATATACATACACACACACACACACACACACACACCAGCTAGGTGTGGTGGCATACACCTGTAAGTCCCAGCTACTAGGAAGGCTGAGGTGGAAGGATCATTTAAACCCATAAGGTGGAGGTTGCAGTGAGCCAAGATGGCACCACTGCACTCCAGCCTGGGTGACAGAGCATGACCCTGTATATATCTGCAGGGCCCTATTGTGAGTTTGTTACACAACTTACTGCAACTTAAATTGTGCCACCCATGCCCCAACACACAAAATGGCAAGCTAAATAGAAAGTCAGATGTGCTAAGGCTAGTTGAGCGCATTATACAAGATTAGCATGGAATGGGCCCTTCATTTAGCATTGCTGCATTCATTTTTGTCAGGTCACTTTGTTATCTTGATCACATTGTCAAATCTGTTTTATTGCTCTAGCCTCATTTTCCTCAGCCTCCTGCAGCATCTTCCATGTCAGCTAGATCCCTTCGTCTCTGGATGAAGTCGTTTTCATCAACTAGCTTTCTCACTTAGTTCTCTAATATAGTGAGGTTCTGTCTGCTTTTTTCTTTACCATTAGTGGATAAGAAAAGTGCTCCTATTCTCTGTAACCATTTGTCATCAAGACCCGAAAGACATTGAACTAACTGCCCTATGGTAGTTCATTATTGGGAGTCTTCAGGAGTTGACACATTTATATACAAAGGAAGTAGGCCAGCTCATTTGAGTCTTGGCTCATGTGTAATGATCTTTAATGCATATTGGAAAATTACTATTCTCAAGTAAGAATAATCTATACCTCAGGTCATTTACAGTCTCAAAGATTTGTCAGTATACTTTAAAACAGTTCTGGGAACAGTTAAGGAGGCTAAAGAACCATGAAAACTAAATGCAATGTCTGATGTTTGATTGGATTCTGAGTTTTTTTAAGCCATGATATGATTGGGACAATTGTGAAAATTTGTATATGGACTACATAGTAGGCAATGATAATATTAAGTTTCATTGGGTGATAATAGTATTCTGGTTATGGAGGAGAATGCCTTGGTTCTTAGGGGCTGCACACTGAATTATTTAGTGGTGAAGGCTCATTATATCTGCAACTAACTCTCAAATGTTTTGTCCAGAAAAATGTGTAGACATACATACATGGAAAGCAAATGTGGCAAAGTATTAGCAACTGTTGGTGTTAGGTGGGAAATTAAAAAAAAAAAAAAAAAAAAAAAGCAAGGAAAAAAGCAACTGTTGATTCCAGATGGAAGTTATAGAGGTGTTCATCACACCATTTGAAAATGTTTCCCAGCCATCCTAAGGGTTAAATGAAAAAAAGAAAATGTTTAAAATAAGAAGTTGAAGGCATGAAAATAATAACAAAAACTTTGGGTTTATGCCTGTAATCCCAGCACTTTGGGAGGCCAAGGAGAGAGGGTTTTTTGAGCTTAGGAGTTTGAGACCAGGCTGGGCAACATGGTGAAACCCCATCTCTACAAGAAATACAAAAATTAGCTGGGCATGGTGGCACACACCTGTAGTTCTAGCTACTCAGGAGGCTCAGGTGGGAGGATCACTTGAGCCCAGGAGGCAGAGGCTGCAGTGAGCTGAGATATCACCACTGCACTCAGCCGGTGTAACAGAGTGAAAGCCTGCCTCAAAACAAACAAGAAACACCTTCGTGTCAGAGTTAAGGTTGTTATATAAGTAAAATGCTAGGTTATGGTTCTGGGTCCACTCTTTCTATATGAAGATCAAAGGCTTCCACTGGACCCAAAGGAACACTACTAGTCACTAGTGGTTATTTCTCTATAGGTTTGAAAGCTGTGTCAGGCCAGCTTACTGGATGCAGTTTTAATATAACACTCTATACGTTTGCTTATACCCATTACTGGAGATAGTCAAACAAACAAACAAACAAAAAAAAAAGTATATACGTTGTACTCCCAACTCATAGACTTCATATATCCATGAAACACTCCTCTGTTTTCACAGTTTTAATGAGGTCCTGATAAAGTCATCATTTTGAAGGACCCAGAAAAGGGCCCCACAGCCTCTGCAATGTAATAATTACAGTAGTTAACATTTGTTGAGCACTCACTGTGTGCCAGGCATTTTTCAGGTATTGATTCATTTAATCCTCAAAACTCATGAGAGGTAGGTACTATGATGACAAGGCCAAGGAACAGAGATTAAGCAGTTTGCCCAAATTCAGATTATTAGTGGAGCTGGGATTTAAGCCTAGTCTGGCTGTGGAATCTGTATTCTTAATGACCATGCTATACTGCTTAAGATTAACCTTGAGATTTACTCCAGTTAACAGAGGTTGTTTTTATCTCTCTAAAACTGCCCCCAATAAGCCATAGCAATAATCAATTATCTTGGTATCTCTTTTGCTCAAATTTATATTTTGAAAAAAACTCAAACATACCATAAAGATGAAAAAATAGTACAGAATCCAATCAAAGGTCAGGCACTGCATGTCATGTCTTCATTTCCTTTAATCTAAACCATTACTCTACTTTTTTTTTAATCTTTCATGATACTGACATTTCTTAAGAGTCAAAGATAGCTGTCTTGTAAATTGTCCCACAATCTGGATTTGTCTGTTTCGTCAGGATGAGATTCAAGTTAAGCATTTTTGGGAAGAATACTGCATAGGTGATACATCCTTCCTGCCTCGTGACCACAGGTGGACCATAATGCTAAGTTTGATCACTTGATTAAGGTGATCTTCGAGATCTATTCATTGTAGTTATTTTGCTGGGTGCAGTGGCTAACACATGAACCCCAGCACTTTGGAAGGCTGAGGTGGGCAGATCACTTGAGTCCAGGAGTTCTAGACCAGCCTGAACAACAAGGTAAAACCCCGTCTCTACTAAAAATACAAAAGAAAATTCGCTGGGTGTGGTGGTACAAGCCTATAGTCCCAGCTATTCAGGGTGTTGAATTTGGAGGATCACTCGAGCCCGGTCGAGGCTGCAATGAGCTATGATTTTGCCACTATATTTCAGCCTGAGTGGCAGAGTGAAACCTTGTCTCATAAAAAATAAATAAAAAATAATTTTCCCCTTGGTAATTAATAAATAATCTGTGGGGAGGTACTTTGAAATCAGTGAAGATCCTGTTCACAAGTGTCTTTTTTACCCAACTGTGTATCAATAATAATCCTTGTCTAAATCAATTTTTATTACATTGGGGTGCAAAGTGACACTTTTTAAAATTTTGTCATTCCTTCTGCATTTACTAGCTGGCATTATTTCATTAAAGAAGAACACCCCCTCTTTCTTTTTGAATACCATTCTTCATGGATTGTTCTTTATGTTAGTTATGTTGTAGCTTATTGTTATTCTTCTGAATGCTCAAATGTCCATCCAGATTTGGCCAATGAAATCTCTGTTATTTTTTACCCCACAATACATGTTAAACTAAGCTATTTTCTTTTTTCTTTTTTGTTTTTTGAGACAGAGTTTCACTCTTGTTACCCAGGCTGGAGTGCAATGGCCTGATCTCGGCTCACCGCAACTTCTGCCTCTTGGATTCAGGCAATTCTCCTGCCTCAGCCTCCCGAGTAGCTGGGATTACAGGCACGCGCCACCACGCCCAGCTAATTTTTTGTATTTTTAGTAGAGGCGGGGTTTCACCATGTTGACCAGGATGGTCTCGATCTCTTGACCTCCCGCCTCTCTTGATCCACCTGCCTCAGCCTCCGAAAGTGACTAAGCTGTTTTTAATGCCCAGAGAATGTCTAATTAATTTTTCACTCCCAACAGGAATTGAAAAAGGGACTACAGAAGTTGGGGGCTTATTCAGACTCTTCTTAGAATTCTACCTTCTTCCTGTGGACTTTCAGCCCAAAGTGAAATATTTGAGTTGGGAAGAGATACTTCTGAATTAAACTACTGATCAGTGTCAACCAGTTCTAATCCCAACCACATTTATTCTAGGCACACCATACTCACTGCCATGCTTACCCTTCTGTTGTACATCTCTGCCCTCCTTCCTGTGGCCTTCTGGTTCCTACCCAACTGTCCAGTCCATAGGCCTCAATAACACCTTTTTACACAGCTCTGTGGTAGCATTGGTCTGCCTCCTTTACCTACTCAAGAAACCCCTTCACCATTAATTTATTGTTCTGTGTTTTTATCTATAGGATCTTACCTAGCCATATGGCCTGCTGCCTCTGCCAATTTAAAAATAGCATTGAGGTTGCCTGCAAGACAGTCAAGCTGCATTGCAACAGTGCATGTCTAACAAACACCAAAAATTGTCTTGAAAAAGCATCTATAGTGAATCCCGAAGGAGCGTTCATGAAGGTGTTACAAGCCCGGAAGAAGCACACGAGCACTGAGCTGACTATTGAGCCAGAGACACCCTCAGACAGCAATGGCATCAACTTGTCAGGCTTTGGGAGTGAGCAGCTAGACATCAATGATGAAAGTGATGTTATCAGTGCACTAAATTATATCTTGCCTTATTTCTCGGCGGGAAATCTAGACGATGGGGAGGCAATGTTGTTACCGTTCATTAAACTGCTTTTTTCAGGTTCACAAGATGGTGACAGGCCCCTGGGTATTTTGAAAAACAATATAAAGAGCCTCTCTCTTCAACCTGCATCCAACAACTCAACTTACAAAAATAAATTGAGAAAGCTGTATTTTCTGGAAAATGTGTTGGATGCAAAAATTCAAGAAAAAATCGATGAGGTTAAAAGGGAAGAAAAAACTGCCATGCTTGTACAGTCCAGGCTTTTAGGTCCCAAATTTAAAAGGCCAATTTTTGGGACCAAATTAGAAACTGCCCAACCACAGGAAAACAGCCTGGCAAAAATTCAAAGTGTAGGGAAAAGCCTGGAGAGAGCAAACACAGTCCTCATGGGCCCAGGGAGCATCCAGAAAAGGCACTTCAAAGAGGTGGGAAAGCAGAGCATCAGGAGGGAACAGAGTGCCCAGGCATTTGTGGAAAACACTGCCAAAGGAAAAAGTCTTGGGAGTGCAGCCCCAAGGGAACTGGAACAGCCTCACCTGGTGCAGAGGCCCAAGAAGTTAGTGGGAAACACCATCTACACCAAGCCTTTGTTGACCCAAGAGCATAAGACAGGGGTCTCCTCTTTGCTGAAACCCTTCTCCATGGGCAGGCCCTCCGCCTCCACATCTGCAAAAGCCCAATTTGAGATCAAAAACAGTCTAAAGGCTCTGTTCTCTGCAGCAAAGAGCCTCATAAATTCCCCTTCAGAAGGGGCTTCTTCATCTCAAGAAAATTATTTTCGAAAACTTTTTGCTCCTTCCATTGAAACCGCTATGCCAGAAGGCACCATCTCTGAAGACACAACATACAATAATCCTCCTGAGGCAGATTCCACTGGAACTGCGTTCAACCTTGAGCCAACTGTTAAACAAATCCGTGAAATAAAATGGGAATACAATGACTTGGGCACTGACCTGTTTCCCAAGCCCAAAAACAATTACCCATTGCTCTCATCCCCAGGTGATCAGTTTGAAATGCAGCTAAACCAGCAGCTACGGTCCCTCATCCCTGACAACAACGTGAGAGGGCTCATATCTCATGTTATCCGGACCTTGAAGATGGACTGCTCTGAGACCCAAGTGCAATTAGCCTGTGCTAAGCTCATCTCCAGGACAGGCCTCCTGATGAAGCTTCTCAGTGAACGGCAAGAAGTAAAGGCATCCAAGGCAGAATGGGATACGGACCAGTGGAAAACCGAGAACTATATCAACGAGAACACGGAAGCCCAGAGTGAACAGAAAGAGCAGAGGTCAAGTGAGGTGAGGACCACACAGAAAGGTGAGACCCGGACTTTCTCATCATTTAGCATATGTCAGGGAAGTGCCAACACAAGAGAACCTGGGACTCACAGGCCATAGCTTGTCTTGGCCATGTAACTTTGGCCAGGTGGCTCATGCTTTTAATCCCAGCGCTTTGGGAGGCTAAGGTGGGTGGAACATTCGAGGTCAGGAGTTTGAGACCAGCTTGGCAACATAGTGAAACCCTGTCTCCACAAAAAAAACACAAAAATTAGCTAGGTGTGGTGACACATGCCTGTAGTCGCAGCTACTCAGGAGGCTAGCTAAGGTGGGAGGATCACCTGAGCCCAGGGAGGTCAAGTCTACAGGGAACCGTGATTGTACCACTGTACTTCAGCCTGAGCAACAGAGTGGAATCCTGTCTCAAAAAAAATAAAAAAGAACCTGTAAGCTACTCACTTGGAATACTGGGGTTTTGAATAGTTAGCTTTCATCCTATCTCTTTGTTTTCTTAAAAAAATTGTTTTTTTTTTTTTAGCACACTAAAGTTGTTCAGGATATGGCTTCAGCAACATACTCATCCTGGCAGTATCTGTGACTGTAATTGTAACAATTATAATCATCATTTTCTGTCTCATTCAGGTAAGGACAATACTTAATTCAGGCTTTTCAGAATGCAATCCTGTCTTTGTGTAGATTCAGAACCCACAAACTGAAAATCAAGCCACTTTCCCACCTACTACTACTTGACATTCTCCTTGAGTTGTTTAAGGCCGAAGTATGCTTTGTTCTTTTACTGTAATGTATATTCCAGGATTTTAAAGGATCGTCACTTCCAGGACATTTCTGTCAATTGAAATTAAGTTAATCCCACTAGACTATTTAAGAAATTAAGTTGATATAATGCAAAATTTTCTCCCACCCAAAACTATGTCGACAATTGAATGTACTCTGTCACTAATTTACTTCCTTGTTGTTGAATGAAGAGAAATGTATAATCTCCACCCTCACAGAGCTGTCATCACCCTGGAGAGGAGGACAAGGCAAAAGAGAGGTCTCGTCTTGTAGACTTAACCACACTCAC